TAAAAAGTATTTTAATAATTAATCCTACCTTTTAAATTAAAGATTAGCCTTATTTAATAATAAAACTTTATTAATATTTAATTATATAAATTATTTAAACTTTTTATTAACATTTATATTAATAACATTTTAATATTTATAAATAATAAAAAAGAATATTAAAAATAATATAAAAAAATAATATATTACCTTTATAATATTAAGCTTTAAAAAGATATAAAAAAATCTTACTTTAATATAACCTTTATAAATTATTTAAATATAATTTTAAAAGCTAAATAAAGTATTTAAATAAACCTTAAAAAAATAAATACTATTATTAATTAAAAGTTTAAAGATTTAATTAATATTTAAATTATCCGTTTATTTTTAAGGTTATATAACTTTATTTGGATATTTATATATTATATTAATAATATAGCAAAACCTTTAAACCATTTATTTAAAAAGGGTATATTATTTAAAATAAGTAATAAATAATAAAAAGCTTTTAAATTAATAAAAAAGCTAGCCTATAAAGTATTAATATTAACCTTTTTTTAGCTTAATTAACCTATTAAAATTAAAACCAACGTTTTTTAAAATATTATTAATAAATCTATTTAATAATAATAAAAAGATAATATTTAAAAGCTTATAAAATACTTTTTAAAAATTATATTATTAATTAAATAAGCTTATTTTATATAGGATAAAAAACTATTAATTATAATTTAAACTATAAAGTATAATTATTTAAAGCTATTAAATATAAAGTTCTTTATAATAATTAACTATTAAGCCTTATTATATTTTACTATTAAAAAAGTTCTCTTTATAAAATAAATGAAATAGGTAAACTTTTTATTTAACTTTAATATTACCTTTTAATATTAACCCAGCTAAAAAAATATAATAATTAATATATTATCCTATAAAATAATTAATTTATTAACTATTAAAGCTTATAAAGCTAAAGAATAAAATATAACTTTAATTTTATTTAAAGCTTTAGGAGGGTTAATAATAATTATAAAAAAAAAGGTAATAATATTATATAGCTTTAACTTAATAAATTTAATTTGATTAAAAAACAAAAAATAAGGTTTAAAATATAAAGATTATTAGTTAATTATTTTAAAGTAAACCTTTAATTTAAAGATTTATTTTTATATAGCCTTAATTAAAAAAGTTTACCATTTAATAATCGCTGCCTATTCCAAATAAAATAAATGCATTAAAATAATTAAATAAAATTACTATTAACTTTTATTAAAATAAAATATTTAAATATATATTTATAATTATTATAATTATTAATAGAATAAAGTTCTTTAAAATAAAATATTTAAATTATTATACTTATTATTAATCCTTATAATTATTTAACATTATATTATAATTAATAAAAAGGATATACTTTTAAATAAATATAGTTATAATTATATATAAACATTTATTAATAAATTTAATTGCTTATTAATTATAATACCTAATAAGAAAAATAATATAATGGAAAATATAGTATATTAATACTATAAATATACCTATTACTTCTTAAATTTCCTAAAGGTATAGATTTTAAATAATATAAAACCCTTTATTTTACACTTTTTAATAAAAATTAATAAATTAACCTATATTAAATACTAATATAGGAACATTCTTTACCCTTAAATATAAGGAGCTATAAAGTTTATAAATTAAAAGCTAGATTAATAATTATACTTTTATATTAATAAATATTAAAATAATTGGAACCCTTATCTACCTATATTAAATTTTATATATAATACCTTTTAATATTTAATTATTAATATAATATTATTAAAGGTTTTAATAGAAATTAATATAAAAAATTCTTTATTATTACCTTTATTAAATATTGTTAAAAAAATAGCACCTAAAAGACTAGTTTAACAATTAATATAATAAACCTATAAGGTATAAAAGGTAGCTTATAAAGCAATAAAAGCTATATAAAAGAAATAAAAAATATAAATAAATAAAAAGTGATACTTAATAAACTTCTATATAAGAAATAAAGTCTTTTTAAAAAAGAAAAGCTTTATAATTAATAGCCCAACTATTTAATTAAACTCCTAATAGGTTAAACCCTTTAAAATACTTAAAGAAAAAGGATATAACTATATATTAAACCTTTTAAAGTTAATAAAAATAACCAACCTTTTCTATATAAATTAATTATATAAAATAAATAAAAAGCTATTATTCCAATAAACTTAACCGCTATTAAAGCTTAAAGATATTAAAGGAGGATTGGAAGAAAAAGTTAAATAATTATTTAAATTATAAGTAATAGGGTATAATAAAACGCTATAATATTAAGTTATTTAAAAAGGTTATAACCTTAACAATATTTAATACCTAATAGAAAATTTTAAAAACTTATTAATTAAAATATAAAAGTTTTATAAAAGATAGCTTAACGTATTAAGACCGCTTAAATAATTAAGCAAATGGATAAGAGCTATAATAATTAATAAATTTATTGCCAACTACCCTAACAATAATATCGCTATATAAAATAGCACTATAATTAAACCCAAACGCTATAAATAATTCTTTAACCTATTTTATACCTATATCTTAATTTTAATAAAGAGAAATATAATAAACGTATTAAATATATATTATATTAAAATACTATACGTACTATAAAGAGATATTATAAAAATATATAAAACCTATATTAATAAGGTTATATAACTTATAATAGCTATTAGCCTATATATATTTCCACGTATATATATATTTTAATTTTATCTTTCCTTCCTTTCTTTTTTAGCTTAAAATCTTTATCTATAGCATTAATATAGCTATGCTCTAAAACCCTAATTATAATAATATTTATAAGGGTAAATTTATACTTTTAATTAATATACTTAACGTTAATTAAAATTTAAAAGCTACTTTATAATAAATTTTAAATATTACTTTAATATAAAAATATTTATATTATATAAATAATAAAAACTTATAAAATATTTATATAAATAGCCTTAATAAGGCTTATGTTAGTTATATTTATAATGGTTAAAAAAAGGCCTATAATTATAAACTTATATAAGGTTTTTTAATAAAATATAATTAATTAATAATATATTATTATAGTTATATCCTTTTTTACCTTAATTTTAACCTTTACCTTTACTTTTATTCCTGTTCCTATTGTTGTTATTACTTTTACTTCTACCTTTACCTTTAATTCTTTCCCCCCTTCTCTTTATCCTTTTCTTTTTCCTTTTAATATATCTATTAACCCTTTAAATATATTAAAAATCTATAAATAATATTAGGCTTTATTAATAATTTAACGGGCCAGCATTAAATAACGTTTAAAAGAAAAGTTATACTTATTATATAAAGTTTAATGGAACATTAATAATTTTTTATTTTATACCTTTAAGTAAAATAATAATAATCATAATAATCATAAAACTAATAATAATAATAATAATACTATTATTAATATTTTAAGCAATTTAGCTTTATTTTTAAATAATAATAAATAAAAAATTTAATATTAATTATATTTCTTTAATAAATTTACTTATATAATTATAAAATACCTTTATTAACGCATCTTCCACTTGACCTGGCCACCCAATTGACCTAGCCACCCCCCCAGCCCATACAAGAAACGTCGGTGCATTAATCACGTGATAATTTAATAACTTTACGAATAATAGTTGTATAAAATAATAAGATATACCATTAGATTCGTAATAAAAGGGCTATTCAACGGTACCCCCCATTGATTTTTACGATTTATATTCGCGGAGTTATTAAGCAATACGCTAAAGTAAGCGCTAAAATAATCCCTGCTTAGCGCTACTTTAGCGTATTGCTTAATATCTCGCTTAATAAATTTTATAAAAAATAGTAAAAAATACCTCTAAATTCCCCTTTAACTAACGGATTTAACGGTACTAATTATTAACTCGTACGGTTAATATTCGTAAAGTTATTAAAGATTGAAATAATGAGGTTTTATATAGGTTATTGGGGTGGCCAGGTCAATTGGGTGGCCAGGTTAAGTGGGAGATGCGTTATAATATAAATTATTAATAATTATAAGTATTATAATATTTAAAATAAAATACCTTATCTTTATAAAGGTATTATTGATATCCTATAATATATTTATAAGCTATAGTACATTGCTAGGATTTAGCCTATAGTATGAATTATATGCTATTTGTATAGTGTGGCTACTTTAGTTCAAATGGAGTGGATGTGCGGCCAACCTAGGTGGCCTGCCGTAAGGCAGGCAGGCAACTACGGCAGTTTAGTTGAGGCGGCCTCCTCCTCCTCGAAATGCTGGCACCATCATTTATCTAATATACATGTCTTACATACATACAGTAGGTAGCATCCACCTAGGCACATGTAGTAGTATATAAATATCTAATACATAGTAGTGTACGTGTACCTGTGTTCATCACTGCAACGATGAAGTGTGCGTGCGGGGTACAGAATAGACTGTCGGAAAAAGCTGCCATGCACATGTACCACCTCCCTATCAGTGGTTGGTTGTAAGGGATAAGACACTCCGCATTCGCCAGAACAATCACGTATCAGAGGTAGGTATTGAACTGATGTTTGTACTCCGTTCCTGGGTATAACGGCATCTTCCAACTCACAGCACCAAGTAACCTACCAAGGACCTGGCTGATGGCGGGTGGAGGGGGCTGTGTCTGAAGAAGTCAGTACCTACCCCAAAGCAAAGACGGCTGAAACCGACGGGGAGTGCTTGTTCAAATGGATGACTCATTTCTTGTCATCGCGTATCCCGTCACATCAAGGTCTTGAACTGTGGCTTTGTTGTGCAGGTTGGCGCTGCTATGTTCCTACATGCATGCTTACGTTGGTGGGGGTGGAAAGACACGGGTTTAGGTTGAAGTTGAAGTTCAGGTTAGACTAGAGCTGGAGATTGAGGTAGTCAGGCCCCTACCGGTACCATAGAATGCTGGCAAAGTAGAAGAGGAGACTTGAGAGGCAGTAACAGGTGGAGTAAGACGGAAATGCGGTGCTATCGGACGATCCCGGTTTACACAGAAGACCCTTACTTACACACAGATATCGTGACATGTCCTTGGCAATCTGGCATGTGTCTGGGATGCGCCGCTTCGTTGGGCGTGAAACGAAGAAGGAGGCGCAGAAATTAAAGAATCATGATGGTATTCGGGTATCTCAAATGTTTGAGGGTTCTCGTATTGATACACAACAGTTGTTGAATGGTTCCAGCATAGCAACCGTAAAAAGCGATTAAGCGAGCCCCCCCCGCCTGATCCCAAGCCGTACCGAACGCCAAGCAAGGTTACCCAGCAGAACATCCTAATATCAACTGTTTTTGGTTTGAACAAAGATATAGGTAAACGCCGTGTGAATAAATACAATATCGCGAATGCGGCGCAAAAGCAGAGGAGACTGTGTCACTCCAGTTACTGTAGTAGCAAACAAGAATTATCGCTGTAGCAAGATAACATTAAAAAGTGCATCATGTTCCTCATCGTGTCTCATAAACCAATGAAGCGTCAGTCCCACACTTCTGGCTCTCCGTTGTATTGGGCATCGTGACCCCACACAGGATCACGTTGTGGTGGTGGCCCGCCACCACCACCCACTTGGATAAAGCCTGCCTCAAAACCAGGTCGTGGCGGTGGCCCTGCCATTGCTGGTGGAGGTGGAGGAGGACGATGTCCATACATACCCATTGGCGGAGCTTGGGGGAAGTGGCCAAATTGCGGAGGGGGTTCTTGATAATGCATATGAGGAGATGCTGGGTTTGCATGGGCCGGAGGGGGCATTGCTGACGGGCCTGGTGAGAAGTGTCGATGCCTCCTGGAGGAGGATGAGGATCCGGAGCTGGAGCTGTAGCTGGATTGTGAGTCCGAATCCCGATGATGATGATGGCGGTGGCTACTATGCTTTTTGGACTTGTATCCCGCGAATGGGCCTCGTAGGAAGTGTGCGGCAACACGTACACGGCGGTCGTCCCGCCTATCGTCCTTCCGCGTCACTGCGCCGCGGACGCCGTCGTAGCCCCACCATGGAGCCCAGTCCGGATCGTCTGTATAAACAAATGATTCCGACTCAGTTGTGGACCAAACTGATCTCGTCGAACCATTGGACAACGCGTCTGAGGGGTACCGGCGGGGATCCATCATAGGAGGTATTTATTATTTGGTGGGCGGAAGATGAAGGCAAGTATGTAGTGCTTAGTATCACAACGCGGGCGTCTAGACAACCCCGGCAATCACCAGCAATCAACAGATTGCTGATATCCAAGATCGGCAATCTTGTGATACTACCAGACTCGGCTCACACACGAGGTGAGGCGTGGGGTTTCCTGGGGAGACGTCCTAGAATGAGGATGTAGCAAACCAGGCGACGCTGATCACACGATCACCAAAGCAGGAACCAGGGCAACGTTGAAGGGAAAGGGGCTGTTTGAGTAGAGGTATGAGAGGCAATTGGGGCGAGGGACGAGCTAAAGCTGACTTATATGTGAAAGAACTAAGCAACAAAGTGCAGAAACAATGCTCAAAGCGTGCCGTGCGCTTGATGCGGAAAACCACGTACTCAGTTGAATAATCTGAGACCTCCGTCACTGATCCAACACATCCATCCCCCCTGTAGCTCAGTCATCGCGTTAATGCGGGCGTGGCTGCTCACATCCAAGCATGCAGCCATCAATCAGATGGACAGCCAAGAAGCCTACAGTACGCTTGGGTGCGGTGCTTGTAAATATCATATCACTCGGAAAGATTGCAAGGTCTCAGGTCTCGTCTACGGGTACGCCCAACTGACCCTAACCAGATAGTCTTCTGCAAGAGACAGGTCTTCCTGCATCTGGCTGTGCGTTTTGGAGAAGCAAATGGAGGTCAGCTACTGGACGGCGCAGCTCGAGCGAACAGCCTCAGTGGAGGACCGTCTTCCGGCTCGGTAAGCTAGCAACGGTTGGCTGCTGCTGACCCCGTTTCCTCCCATGCGTTCTGCAGCGACAACGGTCATGACTGGCCAGTCAATCCCCGCGCCATCCACCTCGACTTTGAGCCTTTCGCCCCGTTTGTTCCTCACCTTGCGCAATGCTTCTGGGTCGGGCGGATGAGGCGCCCTAAGGCAGCCATATGCACTGCATCGTCTGGCACAGGAGACAGACCCTTCCAAACCGGCTTCGAGTAGGCACACCATAACACCCCACGCTAAGGCTGACTTTTTTGATGCCTACTTTTCTTGAGCCGCATTCCGAGCGAGGTGAGACATGGACTCGACCGCGCACGAGCATGAGCCCGAGCAAGGTATCAAAGCTGTCTCTTCTCGGGTTGGGCATGCTTACCTACCTACCTACCGTCACATCTCGAGTGCCGGTTCGCGTGAACTTGGGCAGTCATCGGAGAAAGCTGAATACGTATACAATGATAGTATTACTCACCACTGGATAAGATCTCCAACTTGAATCGTCAACAGGAGCAGTAACACAGACAGGTACATGTGCAGCTGTCGATCGTTGTATTCGCCTAAATTGCATTGCTGAGAAGCACAAGACGATTCTCGGCTTTATTGAGTAATAAGAATACTTTTGATGATCGTCATGCATATTCGTATTGGCGGTGAAGGAGGTTGTCAAATAGCAGCCTCGTCTCATAAAGAAGGGTGAAAATACATAGAAAAGTGAAAACTCAAGTCCATCGTTCCTCTCTCCCACTTCCTCTTTCCCTTCCAATCATCACCAGGGTCGTATGCCAATTCCCCGAGCTGACTGGCTTGGGGTAACTAACCCTCGGTTCTTGATCATCCCGATCTCAGCAATCAAGAAGCGCGGGGTGCGAAACATGCATTTATGAGTCTTTCCCATTGGCCTTCACAGACACCCGGTTACCGGTAATCTACTCGTGAGTCGGGCAGAATACTTGTGCCTGACTTCCAATCACCTCGTTCGGCCCTAGCAGAGAGTTCAAGCAGTACCCCCGCAGCCCACGCGAAGTCACTGCGGTCGAGGTAGACTTGGCCCGAGAGCCGTACCCAAAAGCCGTCGTTATAATATCTGACCGCTAGATACGTGTCGAATTCGTTCACGCTCCTCTCTGTTATCCAATAGGCTACGTCTTGGGCGTCACCAGGGAGAATTCCTCTGACCGCCGGAGCACCGCCGACGGACCTGTCTTTAACAACGCTGAGGGGAAGTTTTACGTTCGTGAAGCAACACTCTTGCTGAGTGCCAGTCTTACTCTTGAGGACTTCTGTACTCATGAGCATGGCCATCAGCTCCCCGCCTTGCTTCGCGAGCCCTATGCAGTAGGTACGTATCTGTTCCTCGCCACCACATACCTCATTCCTGAACTTCAAGGCCTCTAATACACACAAATAGGGCGACGTGTCTATGGTAGAAACGTGTTCAAAGAGATCACCAAAATATTTCGTGGACGGAATAGATTTCCTATCGGCTTGAGATAGATAGCGACCATCCGTGGGGTATGTTGTTTTAATCAAGTGTTGATTACGTTTAGGAACGTATAAGACTGCACACCCACGAGGAACCATGAGCCACCTAAATACGACTCAGCTGCAGCGTAAGCTCCAAGCCAAACACCAAACTCAGAAAGAGAGAGGGAAAAGAAAAAAGAATTGAAAAAAAGAACAGAGACGTCAGAAGGGGGTCACGCTCACTTATAACAGTTACTAATGACAAAATCAGGCCCGACGTCAGCGAGATGGGCCAACCCGATATTGCCTATGCCGTGAGCAGCATCGATGCAAGTTAAAATGCCATGTTGCTTGTATAATTGGACGAGCGACTCCCAGGGAAATCGCACACCAGGAAATGTTAGGACTGTATCAAACAAAGCCAACACAACTCGTCTCCCCTGCTGCTGTATCGCGGCAAGTGCAACTTTTACTTTATTGAGAATCTCATCGTCCTCGATAGGGTAGAGCACGTCAATACAATAGCCACGAACGGGAGTCGTCTCCTCGAGCGAGAGAACTGTCTTAAGACATCCACCGTATATGGTGCTGAAATAGAGAATCACGTCGCCTTCTACATACGTCAGATTTCTCAGAACCGTGTTGATGCCGGTGAGAGCATTTGGCACAAAGACCACCTCTTCGGCATCAGCCCCTAGCAGTGGTGCAATGGCCTGTCGTGCTTGAAGCAGGAGCTTAGGATACGTAAATCTGATGAAGGTATCAGGGCGAGCCTCGGTTTCGCCCTGTAGCCTCCGCTGATACTCGCGTACGGCATTAGGGAATGTTCCAAAGGAACCGTGATTCAGAGGCACATAGGAATCTGCGAAGCCGAAGTGGGCCTCGCGCATTGGCTTGCCAAATGGTACCATTGTTGCCGTAGTTGCTGCCAGCCGGGTAATTAGTTAGGTGGTGCCATTTTGACATTCCTGGGTAAGCAACAGGCGTGCTGAGCCTTTTGAATGCACTGGGCTAAAAATACCTTGGGATAAGCAACTATTGAAGCTTGGCTGGGTAAGCCGCTGACTATAGCCGCGATACCTTCTAGTGACGGGTAGATAGCGCCAGCTCGTTAGGATGGCAACGTTAGAAACCGGCTGATGAGAAGCTTTGAAGAGAAGGGAGAGATGCCCGCTGTCACGACTTCATATTGGGGTAAATAAGACGGACGTGATAGGTGATAGTAATGGCGTCATATGAAGAAAGCAGACTGCACTACAATACCTGGTGTCTAACCTAGGTCCTTACTTGCATCCTAACAGACATAGGTATGCTCTTAGAAGTTGCTGACTATTATGTAGGTACTAGTGTTGATTACATTACATTGAACAACCTGCGGGACAGGCAGAGTATCGGTCTCTACATGGAGCTGACTGTACTGACGGTAGGGAACAGACGAATCGCTACTGCACTACCTAGTCCAGTTATATCGTTGTTCATTGTTCGTGCGTATATGTTGGTTATGTATATATAGTAGGTAGATATATATATATATATATATATTCATGCTGTGCACTGTCTCACTCCTCGTTTCATGAAAAGCTGAATTGCCTTGGAATTACGTAGGGTAGGGACCTGGTTTTCTAAGAGGCCATCTATAGCCGAAGCATTAGTTGTTTAACTAATAATAGTAGATGTTATCTTGCGGTGATGCCGATTGATTGGCATTTCAAGTAGGCGACTCTCGTTTGAGAAGGAGTAATCGGGTAGCGCGGCAGTGTCATCGATGCCGTAGTTCACGTTGCCGTTAAGCCCCTCATCAGGATTGAAATCGTGAAATGTCTCGGCCCACAACACAGAATTGCGGGATCCCCACTCCGGCAACTAGAGAATATTATATCGAGGTTCTATCCTCGAAATAACTACTAATAAGTGTGAGCATTAATGCCGCCTGGATAGCCAGTTATTCGAGGCGGTTTGGCCCTAAATCACTCACCTTACACTGACAGTCTTACAGACCGCTGTTACATCACTATTAGTCAAGTCATAGGTACGTACTTAAGACGCTTGGCCATGACAGGTACCGTGCAATATCGACCCGCTGGTAACAAGACAGTGATCGAAAGGTAAAGTAAAGTGCTTACTCTACTATATTGTACCGGTAGATTAGACAGGGACCACTCTGCGATAGGGCTGGCCGGAAAAACTTCGAATTTTAACCGGCCGGAGCCATTGTCAAAACTGGTGAACTCAACTACCTACGCTCTCCTATAGAATTATGGAGCTATTACAAGTTGTATATCGATCACTACTTACCATAAAGGCAGTTATATCAATGGACATACTGGTAGTGTACTAGCCAAGGCAAGAGAAGAGGTAGTAGGTATGCGTCCACCAGGTGCCGCCGGTATTCGCTGTTCTGAGATTGTGCAACAAAGTTAAGATGTCCCTAGCCCTGGACGACAGCATCGAAGTACCGGGCTTGCAACAAGGGGGCCCCGGTACCAACTTACAAATTTGCCGACTCGGTACACGCTACGGTAATGATAAACTGGCAGTGTATCATGACCAAATACACTTTCGAGATCTGAAGGGCTGAACAAGGGGTCAAAGCCAGGTTCCGATCTGGCCATGAACGAGTAAAGTCAGAATCGACTGTAGAGGGCACAGGATGTAGCCGGGGGTCCCGCAATGAGGAAAACGTTCTTCCTCTTTTTTTTTTGTTTTGGCTTGGCTTGGCTTGAACTCGAGAAAATCCTGATTCTCCGTGCTTCGTCTCGATCACCCTGACCCACCTGCACTGGGACGCTATGGAGTGCATTGCGTTCAGTTTGGGTGCAAGGTACTGCAGAGAGCAACTCAGCAGTATTCACGGTACAACTTACACTACCTGCACGCACCTATCCTCTCTGCTCTTAGCATCGTCGAGTAGGGCCGGCAGCCGAGCCGCGAGACTAGCTTTTACCCATATACTCCCATACTGAAGTACCATACGAGGACAAGAAGTGGCCACCAAAAGAACCCGACGTGAGAGACATAGCGACGCAATGAGATTATATAGTAGGTGATGTTTTGCAAACTTGTCGGCCGTTTCATACAAAGATCGAATATCTCCTGTGAATGCTGGTACGTCCTAGAGGCAGATGAGGCTCGGTCAAGGGAGCTTGAACGCTTACAATATCTATATCCGATACGACAATGAGACAGACGACGTTGGCTTGGAAATCATGACAAGCAGGTAGCAGGTGGCTGAAGTTGAAGCTTATGTAGCAATATTGACATGAATAATGACTGACAATACCTGCGATGGTTTCTAGTATGGATGGTCTGGCATTTCTAAGTAGGTACCTATACAGTCTAGTGTCTATGCCGCACACGGCTACTGTACTGTGCTTTTTAGCACTGACATGCACCTAACTATATTGGTAGGTGGTAGCAGTATTGATCGATAGCACATGTCTAAGCCACTGTAGGCAGGTAGGTATGTCCCCGTGGCAGCATCAACCTTGGTGCGTGCTACGGGAACAGTGCACAACAGTCGAAGACATCCAATACCTAAGTATGCACTATTTACCCCCTACACTCTACTCCTACCTACTGCAATGCGTGATAGATGCCACTTGCTAACATTGAGACTAAGTACCTACAGTAAGTTCATTATAGGCACAGTATAAGTAGGGGTTGGCTCTCACAGTAGAGGTACTTATCTGCCGGCGCGGGATATCGGAGAAGTGGGGCCAAAGATAGATACGGGCCAATACGAGGCCTAGGTACCCCAGTTCGAACCCTTTAGGGCACATCCTGGCAGCAGCACGTACATACAGGTACTACCCTAGTACTACCCTAGTACTGCCCTAGTACTGCCCTAGGTACCTGCTTCCATCCATGGATGTCTGGGGCGGTTCAACTGCACTTCTCATTAGCTGGCCAGAGCTGGCTTTCCCCCTAGCTCTGCCCCTAGCGCGCCTTTGGGTCTGCATGGGTGCCAAGTTCCGAAACTCGCTAGAGTCAAACAGGACTGGCCCGAACGACAACCACAGTGTACCTAGGTAGCCCTCCCAGACCCCCTAACCAGAGTCGCCCTGACCATCCGCCATTCATTCGTCCAGCCACACTCCCTTTGCCCTCCCTGCTGGACTACCGTGTCAGATCCTGACTTACCTTATTGCCAACTACATCTACAACACCCGAACACTACGCGAGCGGCATCGACGTTGACGCCTACATCGAGGACGAAGTCAATCATCAACCAATATACGCAGACCGCCATAGCCTACCTATCCATACTGGCACAACAGCCGTCCGTCAACCCGCGATAGACACCTGAGACCTGCAGGGGGATTGAGGGACCACAGCCCGTCGATTAGGGACGACGTCGAACAACCCGACCATCAGACAACCGCGAGCCAATTGATAATACGCTTTCTTCTTTCGATGCTGCTGGCAAACTAGAGACTCCGCCTGCCTATCGAGCCATTAATGCTGTGAAGCGTCAACGCTTATCCGAGTGACCCGGTCGCCCAGCTTATCCACTAATTTTGTTGTCTTTGGATTTTTCACGGCAGTAATGGGTGACCCAGCGGACAACAAGTCGTCCGAGTCGGATCGCCCCGTCTCACGCGCAGCGTCCACTAGACTGTCGCATGTATTGCGTGACGGCGACGATGATGACTACGACTTGCAGGCCTTGGCAGTTTCTGACGGCTTCCGACCTGTTCAAAACGCACAAAACCATGCGTCCCACGTCGCATATCCATCGTTTTCATCTCGAGACCAGCCAGCCGCACGCACCATGACTTCTCGTCCCTCGAGTATGGCAAAATCGGCCCCTGGCCAAGATTTCTCCGATTCATATAGCGCGGATAACAGGCTGGAACGGGCACCTGCGAGGTCATCGACCGTATCTACCGAGTCTCCCATAATGTCTACTGAGACACCTTACGAAGGACCTCGGGGCCCTTCACACCCTTATCAGATGTATCCACAAGATGTTCGATTAGCTAGGACCGCCAGTTTAGCAACTTCTTCAACAGCGCCCCTCTCAGAGCGATCCTACAACGGACCTCGAGGCCCGACCCACCCTTATGGCATATATCCACAGAATGTAGGTACGGCAGAGGATGGACCAAGTGACCGGGCGCCACAAAGTGAGATAAACGTGGGTTTCCCTGGCACGGCAGATAATTATCAACGAAGGCTTGGCCCGGATGGAGAAGAAGTGGCGGATATGATTGGGCCCGATGGTCATACAGAACAACTGCCGCCTTACACGAGGTATCCTGTGGAGGGTTACGCTCAGAAGCCTGCGAGGATAAGCAGCCCTCAACCGGCGTCAGCGTCATCACCTTCCCCGACGCAGACTGAGCGGCAGCTTGCGCAGAACCTCGTCATCCCTGGTGCCGGTGGCATTGGCTTAGCGACCCGAAACCCAGAATTTTCATCTACAGAAGACCTACATCAACTCCGTTCCCCTGAGTCTCGTCATTCCGTAAGGAGTATCGTCTCCGAGGCTAGCCATCACTCAATCAACACTGCTGCCCTCGCCGTCACAAATGAAAAGGAAAAGAATTGGAAATTCGCTGCGAGACGAAAGGTTTGGGGCGTTGTTCCATGCTGGGCTCTATTACTTGGGGCAACTGTACTAGTTCTGCTAGGTGTTATTCTAGGAACGGTCATTGGCACCGTATTCGGGCGTCAGCTAAGCAAGTCAGATAAGGACAGGTGAGACTTTTGACTCCTCGGCTCGCCCCCTCCGAATCGATACTAATACTTTATAGACAATCATACGGAGCGGGGAAACCTCCTGGTTTTGTACCCCTAACATCTGTGCCACTAGGTTTACCGGATCTCCCCGAAGGACCGTATGCTCTACCACTTCTGAGTCCTCGCTACTCAAACACATGCTTCCAAGACACAAGCCAAGGCCGTGCGTGGAATTGCGATGCTGTTATGTCTCAGCTAGTTATATCTATTCGCCGGAAGCTTAGTTCGACTGATGTCACTGCATACGCACTAGACCTAACTTACAATCACTCGTATACGATAGACTCCAACATTTACTCCTATGGGGTCCAACCGCCGTCGTTGACAGATCAGCAGCTTGAATTAGTAAACGACACCTTCGAACCTTCACGTGGTCCTGCCTGGGCTCTCGCACTTCCCTATGAGAAGACCGTCCTCTTGCCGGAGCAATTTTTGACCTATTCGTCTTCTGAAGGAGAGGAAAAACAAAGACGCACAGCGTTTGGATTTGACTTCAAGCGAAAAGGCCTAGCACACAGTGGTGAAAAGCCGTGGATTTGCACATGGCCAAGTACCATTCTTGAAATTCTCATCTATCCCAACCAAACTAATACCTATACATTCCCTATGCCCTCTAGTAGCACTGGGAGCCAATCGAGTAGTCCAATGCCTACCCAGTCTTCAGAGGACCAAAAAATACGAAAACGCGGAAGCGCTGAGAAGCTTACGATGGATTACGATGATACGCGATCAGACGATGATTATTGGCGTACTCACCTAGGAGAGCATTCGAGCAGCGGGTCAACAATGTCTACAACGTCGTCAACTTCGTCGGCCTCGTCAACATCTTCTACAACAAGCAGCACATCATCAACAGAAACGAATTATTTCAGCTCGCCTCCTATGATACCGCCGCCATTTCCACCTTATCCAAAGATTGTCAAGGTGGAAGAACGTCGCGATCCTGAAATAGATGCGCTCACACCAACATGCCGCCAGATAGTGGTTGGCGAACAGGGAGAACCAGCTGTTCCTGCAGTTGATGAAAATGGAGACCCTATCGTGATCGAGATCGCGGAAGTGACGTTAGAAACCGACGAAAAAGGAAGCAAATCATATTATAATCGTCGCTCTTTCGGTCCATACATGTGGGAACGTGGCGACGGGTCGAGTGGTAATGAATTAAGCGAATGTGGATGTTTGTGGTGGTTGACGTGAAATGCTGGGGTATGCATTACTCAATTCCACATGACCAGCCCAATATTATATATATCTTTTGATTTCAAATTCGACCACAACCCGGGAAGGTCTGTACATAGCGCGGGAACACACGAAGGCACAGGCATCAAATGGCGTAGGGGAATCTTGTTTTTGGAGTGGCCGCCTTGGCTATACTGATGTCTTTTCTTGGGTATTGCGAGGGTTCATTGAACTAGACAAAAACTGGCGTCATCTGGCTTTTTCACCTTGGAATAGGCAGTCTGAATTTTCGACTGCTTAGATATATACACCATACCATCCTCTGTAACTCCCCAATTATACCTAAGTACATAGTACGCCACTACTGGCACCCGTCCTTTACCGCTACCATTACTATTTATATATAATATATGGACACAGTCGAATATTGAAGCCTGGCAAATAGTAGGGAAGACGGCGTCGAAAGTTGTGTTCTAAATGTTTATCTGAGGGAGTATATCTGGCTTGGTTCAAACACATACATTATGAAGATGTGCCCGGTTCCTGTCCAACGAGCGTTATTGTGCATTGTTTATATATATATCTTGGTAGATGTTCCATTATCGACTGAGTATAGTTATAGACGTTCCATATGAGGTAGACTTGATAAGTAAGTAGATAGAAAGCAATACTTCCACGTCCGGGAGTTATGCTTCGTGATTCAAGGATGAATGTCCGATTAGTATTGAATGCGACATTATTGGTCGTTTTGTGGATTCATATAGACGGTTAGCTAACGTGAACTACCTAGATATTCTAATCATGATGCGAAATGTGTCGGACAATAAAGAGAGGTTGAGTGATGATTGGGTTAATAATATCCTAGTGTATGCGACGTTTGATACCTGGCAACATACTGTGATGGGGCCTGGGTACTCCTATGGTTTGTTTTGGCGTTGGTTGGTATTTTGATGTTTCCCATTCATGTATGTTGTAGTTTGTTCTGTGTCTGTGGCTAGCTTTACCGGGGACAATGGTAGGCTGCTGCTGATATATGGCTGTATTCCGGATTCCAGGGTATTGGGGTGAAAGGTATCTATAGAAGTTGCACTTTGTGCCAGGCTCATGGGGGATCTAGATGTATATACACTTGTGTTTCTAATACGGACTTGACATTACAGAGTTGCTTCTCTCAGGTGCCACCATGTCGTATTTATCATGGCCTTAACAAGTTGCATGCTCGATCTGTTCAGGTTGGATATAATGCGTAGAAATATATGTGAAGGTAGGCATATAATCCATTAAAGTCGGAGTATCAACCGTTGGTATCAGCGTCTTTCGATGCCCCCACTCCGTCATCCCCTTTCTCACCCCCTTTCCCACTCCCTATCATCTCACCAGCCAGCCCATCCAAGAAATTATCGGCAAGTTTCTCGGCGCGCCTCGCCCCGATCTTCTTCCTCCTCTCCTCGATCTCTCTCCGTCTCTTCTCCTTCTCCGCCTCGCGCTCGCGTCGGACGCGCTCCGTATTCGCCCTCTCGGCCGCCAGACTCGCCATCTCCGCCTTCCGCGCCTCCCCCTCCTGCGAGAACTGGTAGAACCCGGTGCCCTTTGTGCGGATCTCCGCGCGTCCGTCAAAGTGCGTGTCGGGCGGCGGCGTGGGCTCGCGGTCGCGCTTCGCTGCGAGAGACGCCATGGCGTCGAGCGTCGAGGCCTCTGGGTTGAACGCCGCGGTCTGGATTGCGTCCCCGAAGATTAAGTTCTGCGGCCGCGCCGTCGGCATCGCGGCCATGTCCTCCAGCTCGGCAGCACCTAGCGCTGAGCGTGCTGCGCGGCGGCGTATTTGGTCTACTTCTGCCCGTGTGCCTGTGCGCGTGCGTCCGAACTCGTCCTGGTATTCTACCAACTCTGTCCCTCGTGTTGCGCCTTCATCATCTGAGGATTCGTTGTCGCTGCCGGAGCTCGAGTAGCGCTCGTTACCATCGTCTTCCGGGTGTTTTTCTGCCCACTTTCTATCGAAGTCTACGAGGGGAGCGGCTTCGTTCTCCTTGGCGATGTAGTCGCCGCGCTTCATGGCCGCATACAAGCGCGCCTTCTCCTCCATCTTACGCCGGGCACGCGCGAAGTCTTTCTTCTCTTCCTCAGTGTTGTGCACGTGTTTGAGCTTAATCTTGCTATCATTCGACTTGGTTGTGCTGCTCTCGTCGTTTCGAGACAAGGACGGTCCCGGCTTCCGCTTTGCTTTGATAGATGAGAATATGTCATCTTTGGTTTTGGAGGGACGCGGACGCCCTGAAGACGACCCGACTGAGGATGCAGAAGACACGGCTGAGGGCGCCGACATCAACGAGTTGAGCTGTGATGCGAAGGCCAGAGAGCTTGAGAGCGGAATCTCTGTCTTTTGTTTCTTCGAAGGCCGTTGGCCATATAGGTTTGGATCTTGGGGCATTTTGAATCCGCAACTGCTTGCTAGGTCGAAACTACCCGGTAGTAATAATGAGCGCAGTCTGAAGGATCACCAGGGTTTGGAGGGAGTCGAATTTGGGCTGGTTATATAGCATCTAATCCGCGATGCGAAGACGTTCTGTACATACTACTATGTAAGTAGGTAGTAGTATGGATGGGACGTCGTCAGGCTTGGATTGAGGCGCTTTAGCGTGTTGCGTACCTCTCCCAAGCAGGGGTCAGGAGTTGGGACAGCCCTGTAAGTAGCTGTACGGCGCAGTAGTTCAGGTACTTGGCTAGCGCGACCTGGATGTCGAGACCAACCCTGTGGGCCCTGACTGCTCCCTGAGACATGGCAGGCCAGAACCCCGCGATCGGCCTGAGAGCACAAAGTTTACCCCACGCTGTGCTCTTCGTGATATTCCCGTGAGACGTTAGCTTTCAACTCGGGTTTTTTCTTTTTTCTTTTTTTCTTCTTCCCTTTTCTTTCGGCTGATTAAATTCATCACAATGTCTACGACTAACCAAGTTTTCATTGCCGTCATTGGTAAGCCATCGTAAGATTATGAGCGAGTACTAGAAACTGTGTAGCTGATGTACATCATGCAATAGGCGCTGGAGGGGTAGGCAAATGCTTCCTGTCCCAGCTTTCAGCTCTTGCAACAAGAAAACCAACGCCTAAGCTTAGTCTATGCTACATATCTTCAAGCAAGAAGGCTGTCTTCAACCCCGATTACTCAGTTCTCGGTATCGAAAATGTGCTCCAGGAGCTTTCTTCGTCTTCCAAGCCACCCATGGCACTGCCACAGATTGCAGACTACCTCGCTGCTGCACCGTCAAAAGCTGTATTAGTGGATAACACGAGTTCCCAAGATATTGCAGATGCCTACCCGCTCTTCCTGAGCCGCGGCATCAGCATCGTAACCCCCAACAAAAAGGCCTTTTCCGGCTCGTACAAGCTGTGGCAAGATATCTTCACTGCTGCGAGTACCTCTGGCGCCAAAGTTTACCACGAATCATCTGTTGGCGCTGGCCTCCCTGTTATTTCAACACTGAAAGATCTAGTGGATACCGGTGACGAAGTGACTAAAATCGAAGGTGTATTCAGCGGAACCATGTCTTTCTTGTTCAACTCGTTTGCTCCCGTCGAAGGGTCTGGTGGACAATGGTCTGCCGAGGTTAGAAAGGCAAAAGAGCTGGGATATACGGAGCCGGATCCTCGAGACGACCTCAACGGCTTAGATGTTGCTCGAAAGCTAACTATTCTGGCACGATTGGCGGGACTTGCAGTGGAATCACCTACATCATTCCCGGTGCAAAGCCTCATTCCAAAGGAGCTCGAGACTGTCTCAAGTGGTGATGAATTCTTGGAGAAATTGCCCGAGTTTGATTCCCAAATGGAAGAGACCAAATCCGCGGCCCAGAAGCAAGGGAAGGTGGTCAGGTTCGTCGGAAGCATCGACATGGCATCCAAGGCCGTCAAGGTTGGCCTAGAAATGTTTGACAAGTCCCATCCAATCGCAGCCCTCAAGGGAAGCGACAACATCATCAGCTTCTACACCAAGCGCTACGGAGGCAACCCGCTCATTATCCAGGGCGCTGGTGCAGGTGGTGACGTAACAGCGATGGGCGTGACCAGCGATTTGATAAAAGTGCTGTCGCAGATTGCGTAGGAATTAGATGTTGTCCACCAAATTCAAGATTCTCTTATGAACAGAGACCATTGTAGCAATGGCTATGGCATTCCCCATATAAATACAATATCGCAGCGCATTCTTCAATCATTCGTTAGTGGCCCATGAGCAACTCTTTTCTCGGGAGTCTTCGGCTCGGTCTCATGACTGATGGCACTACTGCGAGCCTTAATTGGAGTGGGTGGTGGTTGTTGTTGTACGTAGTCTTTAGGTAGGCGGGGAGATGGGTGAGGCGAGTCGGCAGGTCGCGAAGGGCGATATAATCTCCAAAGCCACAGGCAGAAATCAAAGATGATCAATCCAATGATGGGAACGACGAATGCCAGACTGACGAGCTTCTATAGAATTGAGGTTGGTTTAGTTAGGCACCCCAGGTTAGCTTGACATTTGCGGACTGGCTTACGAAGAAAAAGGCAATCCAGCGCACGATATTCCACAAATTCCGAAGGATGGCTTCACCAAGCGAGGTAAAGTCATGCGCCATGGCTGCCTGTGTATCTTTGTGGACACGGTAGAGAAACCACAGAATTCAAGTCCTCGTAGAGTTTATAGGAATGTAATGGCGATGGAAGGGAACCGTCAGGTGAAGGAAGCGAAGCAGGTTAGGACCGGAAGCTCGGTATCGACGGCCTAACGATGGCTAAGCGATGTTGTACCGTTTCGGTGAGTTGATTACGGACGTCGTGAGAGTTGGGACTGCAGATGCGGTGCAGTAGGGATAAGCATTGTCGCCTTGATAAGGGTAAGGTCGCAAGGTTATTCAAGTTTCCTTCAGAAGTGCCAACGCACTTACACCAATGAGTAACTCCGTCTCTACCTACCTACGTAGGTGTACCTACAGTACATTGTAGGTAAATTACATATTACCACGTTAGCAGCCTGAACCGATGGTGTGGATGGAAGTGTGGATTAACCCTGCCTCAGCTCACCCAGCAATCGCGTCATGATACGCTACTTTAGGTACTACTAGGCCTAAGTAGGTAGCAGCAGCTGGGGCAAGCAATGGGGTGGCTTTTGGGGCTTAGCGTAATCGAAACCGCCTGATCTAGGTACTGCTGTGTCTGCCTGTCTACTGTAACTTTCACTAGGTATTGTCATCATCCCGTCATGAAAGACAATGTTATACCTATAGAGGAGACTTAGTATCCATACAACACTACTATGTCCCTATGGGAACAGATTAGATTTAGGGGCTATAGCATTTGGAGAATCCGGCAGTCATCGTGAAGCTTTTCCGGAGCTATACTAGTCTCGCCTTACAAGTTAATCTGACTGTATACCGGTAGAGCCTGGAGTCGATCTCAGACTATGTATGTAGCTAAATCCTCGCGATCTTCTTGTACCTAACCGCTACCTTGCTTTGTAGGGAAATGCAGCGAAGGAACACATACGTATGAGGATTGTGCTGTGCTGTATAGCGGTATTTCGCAACTCACTAGGCAACAAAGCACAGGCGACCAGGGATATGATCAATGTTATCGAGCTTGGTTACGAACCGAAAGCGTTTTGCGAAGAATTGGATGATTGTGTTTAGGCAGCCTTATGCAGCTGTTAGTCAACAACAGCCAACGCCGCATTATGGTACCAACAGCTCCCAATCTATAAAAACAACGATTTTTTTCTCATAATTCCCGTTGTCTGCTGCTTAAACCATGCGATTTCTCATTCTTTTGGCCAGCTTTAGCTTCCTTCCTTCATCGAATGCTTTTCACCACGCTCTTCAAAGTATCCCCAACCTAGCCATGTCTTTCGAGCCCCAGCTACAGCAACATAGGCATTACATGAGCATCCGAGTCCATAATGAAGATGATATTCAGAAGCTATATCCTCTTATTCTAGACTACATCAGGGAACCCAACCTCGCATCAAGCGTAAAGGAATTCGTTTTTTGCTGTCACCTCCGCTGGGATGATTCCTACTTGATAGGAGCTGATCAATCGGAGGGCTTAGGGGGTGAAGAGAACGCCCGAGACATATCTCAAGAACATGGAATTTTGCAAGTCCTCACGGATCTAGGTCTTGAGGAGCCAGTAAGGTCCGAATGGGTCAGGGTCCTGACCTGGATGAAGCCAGAGCTCATTGCCGCCCGCGAGGAAACCCTGGGTGGCAATCCTTTTCATGAGAACGCGCGCTTCTATTCGTATCGCGACAGGCTCTTTGCCCACTACGCATCCGCACTACTCCTCATGCTCTGTCCCAATATCGAGAAAATTGAATACGAAGAGGGCAGCTGGATCGTTGACGATATGCTTCGTCGTAATAACTATGGCTTGCTTCCCAAACTGCACTTGGAGAAGCTTCGCGAGGTTATCCTTCTTCCTACCACCCATTTTACTCTAGGGGACCCCAGATATTACATATATCTCGATATTTTGCGAATGCTCCAATTGTTCCATCGACTTCCCGCTATAGAGAGTGTAACTACGGATGGAGTAGGACAAAATTATAATGGGGGTCCTCTGCGTCGTTTTCCACCCGCAACTTCAAATGTGAAGAGGATCCATGTTGGTCACTCTATGTACGGAGGAGATGTCATTTGGTCTCTCATCAGAGCACCGAAACTTTTGGAGGAGATTACCCTCACAACTGGTGGTCATCTTACTACAGATGGCGGGTTCTCGCCTGTATCTGCAAAGACAATTGGCCAGGCCTTGGCCATACACAAGGCATCATTGCGCAAAGTCGATATTGACTTGGACCGCTGTCTCTTTGAAACCGGATATGATGAGTGTGACGAGGAGGAAGAGGAAGAGGAACTAGAAACCGAAGACGAATGGTACGATAGAGACGAGGAGATCAGCACGGCGTGCTTGGCTGAAGACACATGGGAATACGGAGAAACAATAGGGCCATTGCATGACTTCGAATCACTAACACACCTGAGTATCGGCATCAAGCTTCTGCTAGGACCTAGTGACAGGTTGAACCGGTATCACGATGCCCCCTTTCGGCTCGCCGAGGCGCTACCGAAATCTCTGGAGTATCTGACAATCCGAGGATACACCAGAGGAAGTGTGGTACAGTATGACAGTCAAATTGACGAGCTCTTGCTCACAAGAGAGGTTCGCTTGCCTTTGCTGAAAGAACTGCACGGTATCAATGAGACGATTCCTAGTGCGGCACCAATTCAGTAGCCGGATTGAGGATGATGATTTGTGGTAAGAGCTTTCAGAGGAGTGAGAAGGAGAGACGAATTGATATGAGCATGTATAAGAACGGCTAATTGGGCCATATTGACGGGCTTGTTACAGAAATGTTAGCTATTATTCCACCACATCTTTGTCGAGACAGCTTGTCTTTGAACCAGATTGACGATATATCATAGTAAGGTTACCCTCATGGGTTGTGGGGTACCTAGTAGAGGTACCCAGTAGAGATACCCACAACCAGGCACAGCTTTAGTTGCTCACCCAAAATGATGTAACCTCATATGGAGCTCCTTCATTACGCCTGATCCGAAAACACATACGAGTACGAAAAATCATCTCGCTACCTACTACCTAACACAAATAGTAGATATCATATATCATGACGTAGACCGTACGTCCCCATGTAGGATCAGCGAATACATGGGTATGTATGTATACACAGCAGCCAGTATCTGTATACCTACAGTAGGTACTACTGTATAGTACCCCTCATGGTGGAGACTTGTCAATTTATCCCAACTTGCTCTCCCGCCTCTATTGACGGACTACCGAAATTTAGTATGCGCAAGACGATGGCCTAAAGCAAGGAGCTCATACCGCCCATTTTCACCGCCTCATTTTTCGTATTGGCATATCTCGAAGGTAGCCAGCCTACGGCTGCTACAAGGACAGCTCGGTAGCTTTCTATCCACCGATTCCAGTGCTACTGAGTACTGGCTCCACCCCAATAGCTATCTCTCTATCTTCACTTGCAATGTCGTCTCCCCCCTGGGCTGGGGCGTCAGGCGACGACCTTTTCTCCGTTCTCATTACGGGAGCTAATAGGTATGAGAGCATGTACATTCGTTGCAAATCAATTGACTAACAAGGCTCCAGCGGTGTCGGGGTGGGCATTGGCCAACGAGTGATAGACGAATTCCTCGGCTCACGACCTCTCTCTTCCCACCTTATCCTAATACCAACGACGCGGTCCAAAACCAAGTCTCGGGATACGGTGCTAGCTTTACGGAAACATCTTCACCAGACTGCGCACACGTCGAAAACGCTCCAAGCTCACTTCGGAGCTAACTACGATCCCCAGACAGCCATCGCGAGGGTCCACGTGCTGAGCCTCGAGGTTGATTTGTGCAATCTCCGGTCCATACGCGCTGCTGCTGATCGCTTGGTTAATGGCAAGCTGACTGACCCCACGGGTGTCATCGACGACGTGAAAATACCTCGCCTCGATGCCGCCCTCTTCAATGCGGGTCTTGGAGGATGGGGAGGACTCGACTGGCTAGGATTTGCCCGGCAATTCTTCGCTGTCGGACTTGTCCAGTCTACCACGTACCCAGCCTTCAAAATGGCCTTACCAAAGGCGGTAGTGCTAGAGTCACAGAAACTCATAGGGGACGATAGCACCAAATCTAGCTCGCCTCCCGAGCTAGCTGAAGTGTTCTGCGCCAATGTCTTCGGACATTATATACTAGCACATGAACTACTGCCTGCTTTGAGCCGTGCAAATGCAAGTGAGGCGCCAGGTCGCGTGGTCTGGACTAGCAGTATAGATGCAGGCCATGAACATCTTGATTTTGATGATTTCCAAGCCCGTCGATATATGCCCCCTTACGAAAGCAGTAAACGCATTACAGATCTCATCTGCCTGACAGCCGACCTACCGAGTGTGAAAAACGCCTCCGCCTCCTTTTTCACATCACCTGCGATCGCAGACAAGCCTGTGAGACCACGATTCTACCTTTCACACCCGGGCATCGTCTGTACTCCCATATTTCCACTCGATTGGTTCTTGTTCTTCTGGTATTGGGTCACAATGCACTTGTCGCGTCTCTGTGGCTCCCCCTGGCACACTGTCGACGTATACACAGCTGCATGCGCAACGACGTGGCTCGCGCTGGCCGAACAGTCTACACTAGATGCTATGAACGCACATCATATTAAATGGGGGTCTGGTGTCACACGTTCAGGTCACTCGGCACCCAAAAAGTCAGAAGTCGAAGGCTGGGGTTGGGAGGGCCGTATTGAAGACGCCGAGGCACTTGAACGAGACGAATCCAAGGGCATGTTGCGCAATTCGATAGGCCGGAAATGGGATGCAACTACTTTGACTGAAGAGAAAAGGACCCAGTTCGAAATGGACGGGCGCTGGTGCTGGATGGAGCTCGAGAGGCTCAGGGCTGCATGGGAGACTGCTCTTGGTTGGAAGTAAACATAGAAATGAAATGGGCCAACGTGCCAATGCAGGTGTGCGGAGATCACGGACTGAAAAAATAGCAAAATACGCAGGGGCATGCATCATGTGTGCAAAGTCATTTACAAGCATTGTTTAATACTACTGAGCATTCCTCGTGCAATGAGCAGTTATCAATCACCATGTGAACGACTCAACTTAGCATCATAACAGTCATTGCTATTCATCGTAATTTACCCCCAATGCACTTATTACTCCCATGCCTTGCTTAACATGGTGATAATACGATCCGGCCAGAAACACGCCACTAAAAGTGGGGGATGTGACAATTAACCCGCCGGCCACGACGCTCCAAGCATGCAAAAACCCTCCCAGAGATAAACACCCAGAAACAAACATCCAAATCCAACCGGGACGCGAAAGTTCGGGTACAACAAATGGATATCACACAGGACTCTGCCCGCCATCACTCTGGCTGTGTGTCGTGTCGTCGCTTCGTAGACGTTTGAGGGCGAGCTTCTCCTTGCGTCCGAAGAGACCGAGGGACAGCGGCAGCGGGACAGCGGCGAGCGCTATCACGGCGGTGAAGATGAGGGCGCGGTCGAGGTTCGCGGGCGGGTCGGCCGTGGGCCCGGCCTTGAGGGCGTCGGACACGAGGATGAAGACGCCGCCGAGAAGCTGGCCGCCGCCCCAGGCGATGGTGGACGTCACCTCGGGGCTCATGGGGTAGCTGAGCTCGCAGAGGTACTCGAGGGCCACGGGGACGAGGGAGAAGCTCGCGGCGCCGAGGATGGCGAGGACGACGAAGGGGCCCGCGAGGGTGCGCGTCGCCGGGGCGAAGATGAAGACGAGGTACGAGAGCCCGATGATGGGCGTGGCGACCTTGATGGCGAGGATGAAGGCCTTCGTGCGGTCGAGGATCGGCGAGGAGATGGCGCTCGCCACGAGGCCCACGACGATGAGCACGGCGCCGGCGATGCCCGCGTCGTCGGTGCTGAAGCCGTAGGGGACGAGGATCTGGTTGAGGAGCGAGGAGATGCTGTTGAAGAAGCCGACGTATACGGCGAAGGGGATCAGGATCAGCCACAGCTCGAGGGATTTCAGGTGGCGTAGCGATTCTCGGAGGGGTTCCTTGGAACTCGAGCCGGACGGTTCCGGGGGGGTTGGCGGCGCGGCTGGGATGAAGAAGGCTGGGAGGGACACGGCTACGGACTGTGAAGTTGATGAAGAGGTTAGCATGGGATCAAGCACCGTCGGGGGCGAGGGGGGAATAGAGAACATACGATGATGGTTACGTAGAGGACGGCATTCGACACCTCCGCGGCCTTGGTGGCCAGGAACGGGACGATGAGCTGGCCGAGGGCGGCGCCGAAGGGATTTGCGAGACTCGGGAGGGCCGTGGCAGCGACGCGACCATGGTTTGTGAACCATAGATCAGAGTAGCGCGTTGGGGCACTTAGGACGAAGGGTTGCGCGAGCCCGATCAAGATCTGGCCGAACATGACGACGCCGTAAATGCCGCCGGCGCGCGAGTGCGATCCAGCCACGCGTACGACGTTGCCCAGGATCGTGAAGACGGCGGCCGTCACGATCGACTGCTTCGGCCCCCAGTGCAGCATGTAGATGGTCAAGGGCGACGCAACGACAAATGCGAAGAGAAAGGCCGTCGAGAACCAGTTGATGTCAGACTCGGAATGTCCGTAGTACTCGGCCGCGTATTGAGAGACCGGGGAGAAGGTGAGCCACTGTGAAGGTCAGCATTGTGCCACGATATTTGTGGCATCTCGACGTTTTGCGGTGCGCTGCGATGTGCCTGCCCCGCGCCGTCATCCAGCTGGGAGAGAAGCGGTGGAAAATAAGAGGTAGGACTTACATCCCAGCTCACGACGAGATTGAGTAGCGTCAATTGTATGAGCCCGAACCATCTCCGCCTGTAGACCTTGTACACCATCTCGCCTTCCTCATGGCCTTCCCCCGCCCCCGCCCCCGCTCCCGCTCCGTCCGCGGTCTCTACGCGCTCTGTAGAGGCAATCGAGCCACTGCGATCGCTTCGCGCGGCAAACTCGTCGTCGGCGTGGGAAGAAAGCCGCTGGAGGCCATCTTTGCCATGGAAGGGAGAGCCATCCCTCCCGGCTGTTCTGTTTCTCATCATCGTGTGCCGATCGTAGTCCTCCTCGATCTTATCCTCCGTATATGCATCACCATGCGCCCAGTCGTGGTTGAGTGTGGCGTTGCTGTTGGTGTTGTTGCGCAACTCTATTGTTCCTCCTAGGTCCTCCGCTGCCCCATGTGTCGGCGTAGCCATCGCCGGGACGATCGTTCTAGCAATAATGATAGAGATATAAGAAAAGAAAATAAAAGAAAATAAAAGAAAATAAATAAATAAATAGACAGATAGAGATAAAAGTGTAAGACGGAGACGAGTGCTAGACAAGTTGTTTAATCCAAGGTTCTAAACTCGATGGACCGGGCCGCTTTGTCTCATTGCCACTTGGTTCAAAGTTGTGAACACTATTCTCTTCTTCGTCGGTGTACAATGAGATACTCTGCTTCAGCATGAACCAATGATAATGTTAAAGTTACCGAGCGTGTTCAACAGCCAGTGTGATAAGGAATGAATAAGTGTAATCAGCAATACGTCTGAAGTACGTCAATGAGGGTCAACGAAGTAGCAATATATCCCGCGAATTAACAAGGAATTGTCTGAAGAAGCAAGCGAAGCAGACCAATAGGTACTGTACTACTTCATTGGTCCAGTTTTGAAAAGCAGGTCCGAATGAGGGAATGTCGCGCTGGCGTTGCAGTTGCATCCAATCCCACGCTTCTTTCTCTTCTGTTGCACGGTATGGATCTCCCTTGTTCTGCCCGTCACAGGCGAGATACCACAGGTTCCTCAGGAGCTGAACATGTCAAAGATACAGGATTCTAGGCAGGTTGCATTGAACGTGCATTGCGCTTGTTGCTGGATTTACCCGGTTAGGCACCGCACCGGGCAGATACCGGGGCACTATCCAAATAGTACCTAGGTGGGAGGTGGGCTAGGCCTTCGTGGTCACACTAACCTTGGGTAGTTTGCGGCCGGATATTTCAGGGGTCTCCCCTCATTAGCTCTTGACGTTCGTTCAGTTCCAGGTTGTCTTATCACGGTCAGAGACGTAGTGGTACTCGAGGTTAGTTGTTCATGTAGAGATGCGCTCCAAGTTGTGAACTGGTCTTTCAAGGTTGGTAAGTAGGTAAGACCTAACATCTCAGCTGTAGATGGCGGCTGAAATTTGCAATACCTATGCAGGTGAATGGCACATGGTTTTTTTCTTTCTTTCTTTCTTTCTTTCTTTCTTTCTATTTTAGTATCCCTTTAGCTTCCATTTCATCTCCGTGATCTTGTTGACCTAGTATTAATCACGTGCTATGTTTCTTCTTACCCATGCTAGTGAATCAACTTTGCCAATACCTACTTAAGCCGTCACCCAAAGGACACCAAGATCAGCGTAGCTTTCTATACTTGCAGTTATCTGTTTAAGTGGAGTACAAGTTCAAGCGATATTTATGCTTCTAAGTAATTGGTCACTTAAAATCTTAGCAGGTCACGGATGTGAAATGGAAGCTAAAGGGATACCTACGCTTTAGCTATTGGTAGGTGATTTCTACTTACATAAGACCTTGGTAAGCACTTACATATATCTACCTAGTAAGTAACGCCACAACCCGTGTAAAAGTGCGACCCATTAGAACCCAATCTGAGGCTTACGAGTTCTACCTAAGTTTGTGTAAGTAGGTAGTTTCACGGAACTGTATGCATATACGGGAGACCATGTCCAACAGGGATCTCCAGCATAGAAGCGCCACAAGATCAAACATGTCATGCAGCATAACATAACAGCATGCGTGAGAGCAATACCTATATGTAGTATCCACCACACCTTCAAGACACCTCGCACACCAAAACAGGGAAGACGGTTGGGTCGTGATTGGAGACGCCAGTCGGGGGATGCCACCAAATTGGGACCACATGTCACCTCCAGCTCGGCCGTCGTCACAAGCAGACGATTTCGATGCATTCCACAGAGAACAAAAAGCAAAGGAACCAACGGCCTACCAAAGTTTGTCGGATTCTGGCAAAGATGTGTTTTTCAACACACTTACTGCGTGCATGCCTACCTATATTGCTCTGCATTACCAATAGCCCCAAGTCTCACTCACCCTCCTCCCTCTGACAAGCAGCGTTGTAGATTGATAAAAGGAGAGAAGAAACGATGACTGCACTATTGTTCGATGTATGGGAGAGCAATTTGTCACATTTGACGTCTGGTAATTTTTGTCTAGCCAAGCACACATGCGTACATATATGTAGGTACCCATCCATTTGTCCATGCTGTTCTTAATTAAGTATATTGTCGCTGCATGTGAGCGTAACACCATGCGTGCTATCCATGTCTGTGCTGTTCATGTCTTTTCCTAATTATATCATCTGCATGTCTGCAGTATATTTACTATTAATATATTGTTGGTTGTTATGTATATTTGCATTCAGATTAACTGCATTGTTTATTTACGTGTTTACAATCCACAGTATAGAGGCTCGCACTTCTATCATATTTTGTTTCCTTGTTTTCTAAGTGGAATTTATCTTACCGCCTGGTGATGGTCCTTTAATGTGCAGGCTAAATGAGCTAGCTAGGTGCTTCAGTAGGCGTTACAAAGTATAATAGTACCCATAGCGCCTTAATATTGTCTTCAATATTCGTAGTCTTAAACTTGGTGCACTCCTATACCCAGAGGTGTTGTGTTACGAAAGCTCACTACAAGAGACAAAGTTGGCAGATAGTGAGACGGGGAGAACAAGCCGCATTTTAAGCTTTGTGTTGCCACATGATATATGTATGTATGTCACTCATTTAGAGTCAATTGAAAAGTTAACTGTGTCCGAATTCCCTATTCCAAGTGATCATCATTAGATTGAGCTTGGCTCAATACTCAACAGCAAAAAAGACGTTCGTGATTCTATTCATACCCAACATCTGTCTAGGTGTTCAGGCTTTGTACCTACAATATATTCAGCGCCCCTGCTCCTTACTCATGCTTACTTCTGCTTGCCCTTATTTGTGTGTAGTTTCTTACCTCCAACCCCTGTTGAAAGACTAGGTGTGTTGGATGATGAAGACCATTGTACAATAGTTGATGATAAAAACACTAGGCCGGGTGCCATAGGAACTTGAATATTGAAGTCGGTAATTAGTTGAAGCAAGTTGCTTGGCAACATAGACTCAACCGCTAATTTTGGTTGCCGGTGTATGTTGTACAAAAGCTAAGGCGGTTTGTATAATGCTTGAATATATTCTTGCTTCATAAGACATAATATCTAGACATCCATGTAAAAGAACAGAGATCTATTTAGCAGGGCGACTGCATTGTTATGATACAAGAGACGTGATTGGCGCTAGGGATAAAACATCTGAAGATGCTTCGCTTGTCGTTCGACGAGCCAGATTGTAGTAGGCTGTGATCCACAACCGCCATCCGCGAAATGCTGGCCAAGACTTTAGGGAGTCGAAAGTGAATTCGACCGTAGGCGTCAAGTTAGCTTATTTGAGAACAGACCAGAGCTTGGGAGCAGCGCATTGAGTGGCACAATGAGCTAGGTGGAAGACTATGTAGGAGGGGGTTAGGTTAGCTTCTGACGTATTTCGATAGAAACTAATCATGACCCCTCAATGAAATATGCTACGAATGCTGCCGGAACCACGGTTTGGGCCAAAATCGGACGGCGGATACTCACATTCCTCAACACAATCCTCACTCTCGCCATCGTCATCAGAAGCGTTCGTGACCCGTTCGACGCATTCATCGAAATGATGTTTCGCAGGGGCGCATTGCTTAGAGTTTCGGCACTCTAGTCTCTTCATCAGCGAGTGCTCCATGATCTCTAGCGGGCGTTGTGGCTCGAGGCTGGGACATAAGATATCATAAAAACATGCGATATGAGCGCATACAAAATGGCGTAATCGTGTCTCGGACATCCGCGCCCCGCCGGAACCGAACCGGGATTGACTGACCTTCCTCAAACTTATCCTTAGGATCCTCAAGCTCCTCCTCTTCCTCTTCCTCCTCCTCCGGCTCCTCTGCCTCTTCCTCAGCCTTATCCTTAGAATCGTCTTGGCTCTCAGTGGTTTCCTGTGTCGGATTAGTAGTTGTCATTCGTCCGCCAAAGCTCAACGTGTCCGTAAGACAGATTCGGTAGCCGAATAGATAGGAAACAGGTCCGGAGGAGGATGTGCGCGGGTTCGTGGCTCCCGCAGCTATAAGTAGCTCATTTAGGGTCAACTATGTCGTACCTTATCTTCAGCGGGGGGGGCCTCAGCCTCGGCCGTGCTCCATGGCGTGGCGGCCTCGACAAGGTCGTTGATGACGTCCCAGACACCCATGGCGATCGGCTTAGCACTGCACGGGTCCAATGGCTTGTTGTAGTGGGTAGAGCGATGGGTGGTGGATGAAGAGATGACCTCCGAAATGGCTGGCTTTGAGAAAATTACGAGCATCAGCAATTGGGCAGTTGCCATTGGCTGGTCGGTACCTAGGTAGCTTGAAATCACGTGACATTCCGGCCGATGCAAGGACGCTAAAGCTCCACAACTCCGAACTGCTTGACTGACTCTATTCTCTATTTAATCTATTTAATGGATACCTTATTACACGGCTAACTCGGGGTTCAAAAAAAATCATCTATGCAACCTCTCATTGGATTGGTTTGGCTGCCGTCATACTAATCTAGTTCCTACATTACTTGAGTACAGACCGCCATGCCTCCTCTGGCCCAGGTATTACGATGTGTTGCTATGTACATATGCCAATTTTGGACAGACACCTACCATGTTCCTAGGAAGGTGGTGACAGTTGTAGCATAGCTGGGTATGTATCATGACGTGTAACGCTTCTTAGACGTCTGCATTTTGTTATGAATACAATCACCATGTCATCATGCTGTATGATTGTTGGGAATTTCATGGGATGTCCATTCTAACCCTTCATCCAGGATGTGAACCCTAGTATAGGGACACGATGAGAATGTCAGATCAAATATGCACAGTTAACTGATGTTCATGTGATCATCAGTGTAGCCGCCAAGCTTTCTGATGTAAGAATACCGTTCCAGGCTGAGTCTGCCTGGAAAAGCCAGAGCAGGCTCACTGCCTTTCTGCCTCCTCCCTTAGCTGTTCGTCTAAGCGCATGCTGACAGCCTGCGCCTGAGCTTCATCGTAATCAGGGGGCGGCTCATCGGGCATCCCTTGACTTGTCCCCGTTTGTTGACTAGTGTTATCGGCACGTTGAATTGTCTCCTGGATGGTAGTTGGTCGATTTTGGCTCGAAGGACCTGGGCCTTGTGATGCCGTGTACTCCGGAAGCTGCTCATCATGGACATTGAGAGCCCAATTTCTTTGGCCTGATTCCTCTGCAATTTGTGCCGCGTGGTGAAGCCGCCCTTTTATTTCGACGAACTTAGTTTCAAACTCGCTGAAGCCGCCATCTTTGAAAGTTAACTTCAGATTCACTCTGGGAAAGTCTGGGGGGATATTGCCATCCGGAACGGGTCGCACACTAGCTTCCCAGTACCAAGGCCCGACCCAGGACGAGCGCATCCGACCATCTTGACAGCCGAGGATCTTGGTTGAGAATGATTTGAATTGTTCCGTGGGGTTAGCTGGTAGGTATATCAACTAGATTATTGTATTAGCTAATGTGTTAGAAGCTTGGAAAGACGACTTACCCTTTGATTTGTGATGTAGGCAGTACCACTTTCGCTCTTGATGGAGAACGGGGTAACACCAGGGGGGTTATTTGGTGTCGTTATGTTAAGAGCTACCCGGCCCCGAGTCTTGAATAGCATGCTCTCGTGTGGCAGGGGTTCTATGTCCCCAGACCGGGACAGCATAACCCAGCTAGCTTCCAAGTCAGTCTCGTCTTCATCTCGGCTGCTCTGGCTCAAGATATATGAGGCATGCTGTTCATGAAGCCCGTAATCCATATTCGAGCCCTAGCACCAAATGGTAGCCTAATTGCCCAGGACGATAGATACTGAAGGCTGAGGACTTTGCTCATAAAAGGGAGAGGGTTGAATGTCGGATACCACCACATCAGTCTTTCGGAGAGAAAACAAGAGCGTAGTGATTAGGGTTTCCAAACAAGGGAGGGCACGAGATGAGGAAGAGGAAGGAAAGGAGGGTCCATACTTGATTGACATTTTTAAGACTACCTAGCTATGGTAATAAGTCAGCTTGGGCATGGTGGATGCTGATGCAGAAGGGGTTGCGCAGGCGTCAACCGGGCTCTTGGGATTCGTTCGGCAAAGACCAAAGTAGGCAGGGTTCTAGTGGACAATACGTAGTAGTTGATGGCATGAAGCCCGGGACGGCACGACTTGCAGGTCGGATCGGTTTACCATTCACAGCACCCATGGATAGCAATGTGTGTTGGTACTGAGTACTCGGGAGGGAGACCTACTAGGCAGGATTGTGGGCCACTAAACGACTATAATGGTGAGCGTTGGTTGCTACGGCCCAAAGCGGAAAGGCAGACAGGCGACCAAGCTGCAAGACGGCGTCGGTGTGGGTGTGTGCTCGACGGGGTGGAGGGTCAGGGAGGCAGAGTCTTGGTGGATGTTTGATACAAAGCACGAGCAAGCTACGGACGGTCCTGTGCGAAGCGCCGTCATGCAAGCCGGAGGAGTGTGGTGTAGGTACGGGAGCTGTGAGGATGGTATGATCTTGATATTGGTGTGGAATCTGTGGATAGGCAGCCCAGCAGGAAGCTGTGCGATGACCTTACCTAAACCGCCGTGCCGGAGAGACCTGCGGATCTCTCTGCACACAGGTAGTAGTACAGCAGCGGCAGGAATAGCACGACTGACAGAACAATAGTGCTGCACCTAGCTGGTAGCTGTAGCGTCGCTGTAGTGTAGCCGTAGCGCGACAGGCGGAGGTTGGTTGGATGAAGGCCGGTGACCAGAGAGAGAGACGGCTGGTTACAAAGATGGGCGCTCGACACAGAGCTCGAATCCCGGCTAGGTAACCAACCCCACTGTCTATCTATCTGTCTGTCTGTCTGTTTGTCTGTTTGTCTGTCGGTCTGTACTTTATTCCCATAGGTAAGTATCCAGGCTACGGTGAGCACGCGCAGTGCATGATGTCTGTCCGCTCGATGCCCTGATGGATGCCCTGATCTGATGCCCCGATGCCCCGATGCCCCGGGGGTTCGGGAATACCTTGTCAAAACTGCTGGAAGCTAGGTAGGTATGCGTGGGATCCAGGAATAAAACGGCAGCAGGTCGAAAGTTCTTCCTCGCTCGCACTCTTCCCCACCTTGCTATTGGCCTTCGACTCTCGAGAACCCGGTCATATGAGAGGCTCGCTGTGCCGCTCGAGGGGGCTCAGGTAACAACTTACTAAGGGAGCGACTACCAGGTAACTACTGAGTAACTACTCCTACTTAGGTAGATAGTAGCGCGCGCACTGTAGTTCGCGGCAAGGCCAGGGCCAGACAATGCTTTGTGTCGACCAGCAACTTGATGGAACACGCGTGTGGAGAAGGATTGATATGGTTTACTTACTTGTGTCTGGACGTCGAGTTACCTGGTAGTTACACTGCCTACGCATAAGGTACAGTGCAGGCGGAGCTTAAAATATCTCCTCATCGCACAGTGCCAGCGCCACTCACCGACCTGTGCCGTGTGTCACATGTAGCTGCCCTGGCCAGCCTGTGAAGATATTATTTATACTGACCTACTACCAAATATATATCAGTCACCCGTGGTATGTATGTAACATCTTATAGTACCTACCTACATACTTACTTACCTACTTAGCTATAGCTAACTCTGTCATGCTATCTTGGCTAGCGGCATGTTAGATCCGGGTGTCTGCCGTAACTGGCATTTAACCCTCTCGCTCTATTGTAAGTACTTGTGTGTAAGTATGTATACCTCAGTGTTGGCATGAGAGTATTTACCGTCCTGGTCGTCTCTCTACGTATACCACCTACCTCAACTTACATAGTAGGTAGGTCTCGTGGTCCCATGTCTTTCTCACCCCACAATGGCCGAAAATAGGCGTCAAAGCACATACACATATGTAGGTATGTTGGTTGTTGAGTGGCATATGTAGTTTTCATTCCACATGGCGCACTAAGCCTACACGAGTCCGCACGAGGCCCACGATATGCCATTGAGTGTTCCCGTGAGGCAGGACGTCATAGCACGTACCTAGAGGCTGCCTTTTCTGCTATTTGGCACCAATGACTCTGCTCAAATCGATCCACAGGTTTGTCACCTTTCGGCGATCGGCTGGCCTCTCCACTGTAACCAAGAGGCTGAACGACATGGCACAACCCCTGATTCCTAGATGCCTTCCGAGCATTGAATCATTATCCACCTGATAGGCCGGACGTCGAGCCAGCCCGTTCCGCGAATGTAACCTACCTACCTAGTCAGGATCCATACTCCGAGTCCCGAAAACGCTATAGGGCGCAGGAATATCTGACCCTTAACACGACATCACAAAATTCTTCAGTCGTCTGTCTTGCCCAGGTCTATAACCTCGCTACCGAAGTCTATCCAATTTTCAACCTCCTCTGGAACCCAGTTGGACCGGCAGATGCTCCAATACGCGCGAGTGTACGTGGATAACCTATCTCTACCTCCTCGTTAGTCTACGAAAATTAATCTGCACGTGCGCAACGCTTGTTGGTGTATGTGATGCTTACCGACATACGGCACCCAAATTTTCCTGATTCGGGATAGGTAGCTTACTGCCTGCGTACCCCTGCAGTGGAATTATCTTTTTTGCATTTTGTTTTTTTTTTTAAGCTTTTCATGTCCTGGCCATCTGACTAAGATTATGTTCCAAGCTCTGTCTTGGTATCGTTGCGAAGCTTGGAAAGAGGGCTACTCGTAGTTCATGGACCGGAACCAATGAGCCAGCTTTCTCTCGTTGAGTAGCTGAGAAATTCCGGTGGAAGAGCCCTGATCCCAGACCGGGACTTGATCTATGAAGCAATTGCGGCAGAGATAAAAGTTCATGCTGACTCAAGTTTATGTCGAGACGGCGTGTAAGCTGAGAGCAATGCAACGTGGTGTGTTACTTTACGCTGAGCCCCCACAGCATCTGAATCTTACAGCATAACTTATGGGCACGAGCTATCGATTCTCGTGAGAAGTGATAGGACGACGAAAGACATCACGCAGAGCCCAGCAACGGACATAGAAAATGCCTGACTTCATCTATTATTGGTCTTATCAATATCAGGCCACGGCATCAGGCCATCAACATAAAGTCTAAGCAATCTATAGGTCAATTGTGGCTTAAGGATTGCAAGCCGCACGGCCGGGGTGGGGCAGCCGTCTTGCGTAGACTTTTGTGATAGGTCATCCGGCGGCGTTGGCGTTCACAAGGCATGCACCAAAGCTGAACATAGGAACCTATACCCAGAATACCGGAGCGTTGCCCCATCCACAGGACCGGTCGGCCTAGCCGCTTACCTATTCGCGAGGCTGCCAAGCTTATTCCGTTGCCTTGAATGACAACACGTGCTGGCGAATGACAACCATCGGGCTCTAATCGAGCCGGTAATCGTCTCGGAATCGAGATCTATGAAGCCGGGATCGGCCAGATCACCCCATGCAGCAAGATATGCCAAAATCTCACTCTCAAGGTTTCTCATAGTTCAAAGAAAAAGGGACAAGTTGACCGTCGAGAGACGGAAAGGTCGTTGAATTCATTATGCCATGCCATCCCTCGTTCATTACATCCCAGGGTACCAACAGCTCTAGCCATATGCCGCCATGCCATATCCGAAATCCTGCAGAATCCTCAGCTCAGTTTAGACCATCATTTCCCAAAGAGAACGAGAGGGTAGAATGATGTGTTTGAGGCAAATTTTCCAACAGAGATGAAACCACAAAACGGAAAACTCCCGGAGTCATAATCCCGTAAATGAAAATCCAGACCAATGACGCCCCAACCAATGAACATAGCAATGGAACAAAATACACTAAAAAGAGAGAATAGTTATTGTCGTCTTCATTTATGCCTTACACTTAGCAATGACGCTGAGGGGGAAGTGCTTCCCACGAAGCCGAACACGGCAGGTTTTTTATTTTTTTTTTTAATTTTTTTACGATTCTTGCGTCCTCCCTGACCTGGGCCCAGTGGCGTCAAGAGCACTACTGCTTAGGAGAGCCAATTCTCACTTGTTTTGATGACGGGACTGGCAGGATCACCAAACCCGAAGCTAAGCCTAGGCATCTCGATCTTGGGCGCCGGTTGGTCGTCCTTCTTGGCCTTGGTCTTCGTGGGACTTTTGGGCTCAGCTGGTGGGCCGTAACGTACATCACGCACCTCCCAGCCATCCTCGGCAGCCGCGGCAACCCAGGTTCGTAGCCCATCGTGAACACCAGGATAAAACTTCTCCTTGCAGAGTCTCAAACTCGCACCCATGCAGCGCTCCCAGCCCGAGATGCGTAGGAGGCCGCGTAATGAATTCCGCTCTTCGGCGGTGGGTGTACATGCGAGAACGGCGTTTAGAAGGTCGAGATGTGAGGCTAGATAGTTGGTGGCGTCCCATTCCACACCTCCAACATAAGGAGCGGCTGCTACTGGTGGTCGCTCTTGAGGAAAATGTGTCCGCATGTAGGTCATGCCGTCCATGCCAGAGGGTCCCCGGCCCTCCTTGTCCCGTGGTAGAAAGACGACATTGAGGTGGTGCAAGAAGATCCAGAAGACTTCCTTGGTGACACTGGTGGCTTCCCGGCACCACACGCGATATGGGCGTTCTCGCCGCATCTCGAGTACAAAGCCGAGGGGGCGATTCTCCTCCTTTGGTTCAGGATCCCGGAGGTGACCCAAAATGGTCTTGGCTCTAATGGGTCGGTCTTGCGGCGAGGCCGACTGAATGTACGTGAAAAGTACTGAAGTGATAATATTGCGAGTTGTGAATTCGTTGGGTCCCTTCTTCTCCGGATCAAACAGCATATGCAAAAGAGCTGGGAAGAGGGTTGCCTGTATCGAGTGTAGATACTGAAGTGCTAGGGCTGTTGTGCATAGAGCTTTGAGACATAGGAGATTCTCATGGAGGAGGGCATCCTCGTGCTCCTCACTAGTTCACCATTAGTAAACCCATCAGATGCAATACGAGCTGAGTTAATGACACTTACCGCCACTCGACATCCATGATTCGGTGAAGGAGTCCAACAATCTCTTCCATGCCACCTTGGCGGATGAACTCCTCCGTCCAGGCGACTGTCTCGTTTCGTAGCAATAGCCTGAGTTTGTGCAGCTTTCCCACCTCGACCAACTCAGGTTCCTGGACCTTGCGCAGATAATTGACATAATCAATGGGTCCTTGCTGTAACTTCATCTTGGATAAAATGCCACCGCCGGAGCTTGAGCCAGCTGAAGAAGGCCGCTCGCTAGCCAAGCTCTCTGTCGACCGCGAGCGAAAATGTCGTCCGAGGGTGCCCTCCCCTTTGGATTTCTTCGTGGGCGAGCGAGACTCTGATTTCTTCCCACCGCCTCGTGACAAGGTGAAACTTCGTCCCCTCGATCTCTTTCCTGCGTCGGGTGGTCCTGTCAAGCTCCTATCGCTATCATGACTGTCTGGCCGAGTAGCGTTGATCCCCTTGCTCTCAGCCCAGTCTTGCCTGATAAATTCCATCTTGATGGTATCCGTTAGGTTTCGCATCTTGTACCTCTGGTTCTCAGGAATATTACGTCGGTCTAACATAGCTTCAAGGTGCTTATCGATATCCTTTGGATCAACAACGAACTCTGAAGACTCTGCAGGCGGCGACTTGTTCTTAGCCCCTGCTCCATTCGTGAAGATTTTTAGCCCTCGTTGAATTTTCGACGGAGACGAAGTCTTCGAATTGCCGGAGTCCCCGTTTGTAGCCACAGATCGTTGTACCTCCCGATTTGCTATGTGCTGGGCATGGTATGACTTTGGCCGTTCCTTGGCTTGCGTATTGCTCGATCTGTCACTAGATGAAGCGTTGCTGAAAATGTCATTGCTTTCAGTCAAAGCATTCTGTCGTTCCAATGCGCCACTGGAGAATTGGGCATAGATGGGTGGCCGCGAAATCTCCTGTGGCGTTAGTGAGGCAGGCGGTGTTTGGTTCTCCTTGTCCTTTCTTGTATACAGCTCCTCCTCGTTCGCTAAATTTTGCAAGTTCTTTTGGCTCTTTGGACGCTTTAGAAGAGCTACCAAATTCGTGGCAGATTTGTTCTTCTTGGGCATACCAAGCAACGCCGAATCGTCCTTGTTTTTAGCCGCTTTGGCTGCCTTATCTTTGGCAGCAATCGACTTGAAGGAGGCAGCAATGAATCCATGCTTTGTCGGTGACCGAGGGGCGGCTGTTCTATCATCCAACTTGCTTGGTGATCGAGGGGCAGCTTCAGCGTGGTTCTGAATCTCACCTAAGGCGGCTGGAGGTGAGAAGCTGGGAAAGGCCATATCGTGTTGCAGCGAAGACTGCGGGATGGCGATGGAAAGAGGTCTCGACTGGGCAGGGGTTAAAGATGAGCCGTCCGACTCTTTGCGTCGGTGCATGAAGGGCACCAGGACGTTGGATCTTGATCGTTGATGATGCTGTTGCGGACGAGCATTGCTCATAGGCACGTTGGGGTTCATTGCGGCCATATTTTTGAGCAAATGTCTAGCCAACCTCTAGCAGATGCCTGGTCTCTCCGAAAAGAATGGAAAGAAATAGAGAAGTAAGACGAAAGATGCCTGATGTACCAATGCCTTGATAGTCTGTTTAATGTCACACCCAAATTGTATCACCAATAGACTCCGCGGCGCATGCCTGGGGGCAGGGCTTGACTTCTCAACAAACTAACTAAACAAGAAGAGACATGTGCCGGTATGAAGACATTTGGGTGGTTGACAGTCAAACATCAGAAACTAAATCCCTAGCGAAGTGAATCAGAAGAATAGGTAGTGCTGTCTAAACTGTGGCGGAGAGGACGGAAACGAGGAAGAAAAAGAAAAGACCACCTGGAGCAATCGGTATGGAAGCCGTTTGCAAACGTCCGTTGGCGCGCTCTGTCCGCGTCCAGAATCGCAGAGCTAAGGTATGATGCAGGAGTCGGGTCAACAAGCTGAGTTGCCCCAGAAACGGCCAGGCCCCATGCCTACCCCACCATTGCTGAAGCCCACTGGTGCCCGCCATCGCTGAGGCCTAGGCGAGGTAGGTACCTACATGCCCCGCTTCTGCCCGCTGTTGGTGTCAGATAGGCTTACACCAACCCCACCAACCCCACCATGGGTCCTATCAAAGCAAGTACCTACATGTACGTGCGGGCTTACTTAGGTACGTTAAGGTGCTGCCCCACTGGGCAGGCAGTCGGTATCAATCGAACAAGGCTTCGAATTTTCCAACCACAGCTATTTGCGAAAGCATCAATTGGTCGGCAGCATACTTCACATTCCGCCTTTATTTCCTTGTCGCTTAGCCATTCAGGAGTCAGAATCCTACCGAACCGAGACGGAATGACTGAACTCGTTAACAAGAAACAAAAGCGAGCTGACTATCGCCAAGCTCAAAAAGAAAATGGGATCTCTGAGCTGCCTAGGAAAAAGTTCTACCGCCAAAGAGCGCACGCCAATGTCTTCTCAGACCATAACTTAGAATAGTACGTGGCGCGTACACCATCAACGACGGCCATTGCTGTAGGAACTTGCCACTAATATACAGATAGTCCGAAAACCCCCGATCACATGGATTGGTCCACCTATTTCCCTGCCTTCGCTACCACGACCGATTCTCTCACTACATCTCAGCCCGCCGAGACCAGCCTAGTGAACGCGGCTGATATATACCCCAGAAAACTGAGTAAAGAGGTCGAAGTAGTTGATATAGGCTGTGGATTCGGAGGGCTGCTCGTGGCATTAGCGCCCGTATTACCAGATACACTCCTCTTGGGTATGGAAATTCGTAGTTCGGTTGCCGAGTATGTCCAGCACCGCATTGCTGCACTGCGTACCCAGAACCCAGACACGAACCTCTATCAGAATATTGGCTGTCTACGGGCGAATACTATGAAGTTTCTGCCCAACTTCTTCCGAAAGGGCCAGCTTACCAAGGCATTCATATGTTTTCCCGATCCTCACTTTAAACATCGCAAACACAAAGCTCGGATCGTATCTACAACGCTTAACTCGGAATATGCATACGCGCTGCGACCTGGCGGCATCATATATACCATCACCGATGTTGAGGACCTACACTATTGGATGGTGCGACACCTGGAAGCGCACCCGTCTTTTCAGAGAATATCGGAAGAGGAGCAAGAGGCGGACCCTTGCGTTGAGATTATGAGGACCACGACTGAAGAGAGCAAGAAGGTCGAGCGAAATAAAGGGCAGAAGTTTGTTGCACTTTTCAGACGTTTAGAAGACCCCCCTTGGTAATGAACGGGATTTGACTGAAATAACAGCTTATATTCACTTTTTATAGTAGCTTTAACAGTGGCTGTACCTATCGACTATGAACTCAGCAGCTCGCTACTTGACTACACTGGCAAGAAAAGGAAATGAAATGTATAATATAACAGCATAGAGTACCTAGAGCACTTTTAAAGCAATCATGAGATACCTCCGGTAGATAGGTACTGCGCCCCATCTCTACACACCAATGATAAATTTCAGATGTACTATATATGTACCTAGGTCGGGACCTGGGTAGTGGCACGTGGGGCATTCATGTACAGTACTATGTGCCATCTCTCCAGCTGTACATGTCGATGGTAAGTACCTTTGTACCGCTGAAACTCGAACCCACCATTGACGTTTACGATAGGTGCTCTTTTGATACACTTCCACACTTCAACCTGTGCACAAGATTCCTGTGGTCCCTCTCGAGCGCGAATGATGACGCAACAAACACTGCAGTTTGAAGATTATGAAAGCCCTTAACGGGAGAGATGTCGCTATTGCCGGCGTCGTTTGTTTCATAGCATGGGGCTACGCTGTAGCCTGGTTTCCCAGCATCCGATGGGTCGGCCATGCTTTTGTCGCCGGGCTTGTCGTCGCCCTCGCTGGCATCCTGCTGCTTATACTCGGAACATCCCGTGGCTCCGTTTATAACCAGCGACATAAGTCATCGCGACCTAACGGCGTTACTTTCGCGGCCCCTGGAGTTTGGCGCAAGGAGATCATCTCGCTAAAAGCTCGACAAACCTACATTAAAGCGCCCCTCTATGCAGAATCTCCTGCCCTGTCGCGTGCTTTGGACGATTTGCTCGAGTTAATTATCCGGGATTTTGTGACGTCGTGGTATTCGAACATCAGCAAGAACCCGGTCTTTGCCAACGCCGTAGATAAGGCCATACGACGTGTCCTCGTCGCAATCCAAGCACGTTTGTTCGATGTCGATCTAGTCGAGGTTATCACTAGTCGAGTAGTTCCGATTTTTACAGCCCATTTCCGAGATGCCTACGATGCTGAGAGAGCAGTGCGCGGCCGAAAGCTGAATCTTGACGTTACGGAATCGGAAGAGTTGGATTTAGCTATTGCTTCCAAGTACAATGATGGGAAGATACACTCCGCTGTGTCTTTGGCGTACTCAGACACGAAACTCGTGCAACAAGACTATTTGCGACAAATGGTGGTAGGGATATTGCCGAAAGTGCTTCCTAAACGACTACTTGAAAGCCGTGCCGTGTCTAGTATTGTGCGGGAGATCGTCTCCTGCGCTGTACTGTTTCCAGTCGTGCAGCTCCTCTCGGAACCAGATACGTGGAATCAATTGATGGAAAATTACGGTCGTTCCATGCTACAAGATCGTTCCACCGTCCGCAAACTGCGGGCTGCTCTAGACGCTCACGCTGTTCCGGCGCCAAGTTCTTCCAAATCAATTGCTTTCCCACGATTAGCCCCCGGAGATGGCGAGCGTCGCTTCGAGAGGTTTATTCGGACTATCCGCAAGATGACTAATCTATCCGATGCGCGACGATTCCGCAGCGAAGTAGCAAGTCAGTTAAAGAAGGACGCCCAGCAGCAGGGACACGATCAAGTATATCTGCGGCGCCTAGAAATGGGCAAGAGGCTTCTCGACCAAAGAGTACAGCAATTAGCTGCAAGTAGCGATAGACGACCGGTGCCGCTGTCGAGCCATACCATAACTAGTTCAGGAACTTCCCGACTAGAACATGCATCGCTAGTAGAAATTTTACGAGATATATCTGGGCTTTCTTATTTTATGGAGTATATGGACAGACAAAACCTTATGCCACTCGTCCAATTCTGGCTAGTGGTAGACGGCTTTCGAAACCCCCTCGAGGATGATGCAGCCGAAGATGATGCGTTGCCTTCAAATCTCGCCCCTTGGACAGATTCAGACCGGGTTGATCTCGCGCAGATTGACCAGGCGTATCTCTCACGCCCAGAATTGAAAATTTCTCCAAATGCGCGACAGCCGATCCGTGAATTTCTTGATGCTGGAAAATCAGCCACTCCAGAACAATACTATAGGGCCCGTCGGGCCGTGTTAAAAATCCAGAGCTCAGTGCTTGAGAGCATGCAGTCTAGACATCTCCAGGCTTTCAAGAAGTCGGATTTATTCTACAAGGCGTTAGCTTCAGAAGAAGCGGCTAAGACCAGTACATTGCCTCGGCAACAGGCGCAGGCAGGGCCTTCGACAAGTCCGCAGCTTCAGAGAAGCTCTCACTCGTTCACTCCGAAGCCGAGTTTGGTAGCACGCCTTAACCCGAAGCTGAGTGTGCCCAGTAGTCATCTTAAAAGAGGCCTGTCGGCTTCAGACTTGAAGAATGTTAGCACTAATGGCGCTCTGAGTCCCGAGCCACAGTCTGGGCATCGAAGATCCATGGATGAGAACGCTAGTTCACCTCTATTTGATGACGATGATTTGGAGAATGACACTTTGGGAGACTCGGTGCAAAGTCTCGATCAGGAACCCTCTAAGACTGTGCCAGATACCCAGGTTGTCCAAGCAATGGAGGCGGCCCTGATCGATATTATGGAAGATGAACGTCCTCGAACAGCCGAAGACTTGCGCCAATCGTTATTTAGCGCTGATGATGGTGCTTCCAGCTTGTTCTCTGGCCAAGATAACGAGTCCATTGATGTTCAACGGCCACTTGCCTCTGGTAAAGAGGTTGAGAAACCTAGCCTGGCTTCGCTTGGTCTAGTTAGCGCGGCGTCCAGAATTGGAGTTTTCATGGACGATGATCTCTTTAATGACGAGGAGAAGCTTCTTTCCGACGAGCAAGATGAGATTGATGCAGAACAGCATACCGACGTCGAAGACGAAGTACATGAAGCCGCGCCTGGTGATCTGGGTCTGGCCGAGGCTATCACTATCTTGACCAATGATATTGATCGGCTTATTGCTCAAGACGCTGTTCTTGAGTCACTAATGAAGAAAGCAGAGCTGACCAACAACACAGCAGAACTGCGTATCTTACGGAAATCGAAGGCCAGCCTTCAGAGAGAACTAAGACGTAAGGAATTGCAAAGGCAGCAATATGTCATACAAGAAAGCGATAATAGTCTTTACGGGCGTGCTTCTATCAAAATCAAGTCAATACAAGTTGGCCGTGATGATGATGGGAAGGAATTTGCGGTCTATGTCATTGAAGTTCAGCGGAATGCTGGAGAAAAAATGCCGGCAGCTACCTGGATTGTCACAAGGCGATACAGCGAGTTTCACGAACTTCATCAGAACCTACGACATAGATATCCATCCGTGCGAAATCTAGACTTTCCCCGACGAAGGATGGTGATGAAACTGCAGAGCGAATTTTTACGGAAGAGGCGAGAGGCCTTGGAGAAATACTTGCAAGAACTTCTCCGCCTACCCGATGTATGTCGCAGCAGGGATTTAAGAGCCTTTTTATCCCAGAGCGTAATCCATCAGGGAGAGGATTTGATGAGTCGCGAAGATAAGAAAGACATGATGACACGCCTTTATGACTCGGTAGCCGACGGAATGGAAGATATCCTTGGCAATATCCCTGTGCTTGACCAGCTCTCTCTCGCCGGTCAGAACTTGATTGCAGCAGCTACTAGCCAGATGAGCACAATGCCTCTTAGCATCAACGAAGACGGCGCAACAACCGCGGAAGCAGAGGCCGAGTTGAATGCGTTCGAAAACAAAGAACTCGAGCCTTTTATCAAGCCCATCTGCGACATATTCCTGGAAATATTCGGTCTCAATCGAGGGAACAACTGGCTCCGCGGTCGGGCAGTTGTTGTTGTATTGCATCAAATGCTAGGTGGTACCATTGAACGCAAAGTACGCGATAACTTCAACATGCTAATGCAGGAAGACGCTCTGCTCAAGTATATTGGGCTCCTCCGAGACAGCATGTGGCCACAAGGGCAGCTCAACCGGAACCGGATACCGCGTACGTCTTCGGAGAAGGCAAATACTCGTAGAGAAGCAAGCCTGATGCTCGCCACGTTAGTCCCAGACCTCGCGGGCAACGTGGTAGGACGCGCCAACGCTCAAGCTGCTAGTCGCCGGATTTTTGCCACGCTTAACAACCCAAGACTCAAGTAAGCAGAGACATCTTCCCAGTTACTTTCGGTAGGGTATGCTGACGTTTATACTAGCTCACACTTGGTCTTTACCATCATGGACGAAATAGTTGATATTATTTTTGCGGAGCCTTGATTCTAACTTGCGTTGCACCCTTAGGCCTTACACACAGCGTTTTCGTTGCCCCTTTCACAATGATTGATCGTAATTGCATAGCATGGCGTTTCTTGCTTCTAAGATTTCAGGCGGATGGGATACCTACTTTTAAGCCCCCTTGCATTGGTGGCGTTACGGTAACACAGGCACTAGGAAAGCGATGCAGATTCATCGACACAACCTTTGTAATGTAAAATGTCTACAGGGGCTAGCACTAGCAAATGCATGAATATCTTCATAGCTTTAAGGATATTTGAAAGGAAATTCCTTACCACAGAGGCGCAAATGCTCCTCTGACATGAAATAAAGCAGTAACCAATGGCTCTGGGAAGTGGCATCCTAAGGGGCTAACTCGGTGGCCGAGATTCAGGGGAGAGAGAGTCGTGATGCTCCGTATACTTGCATACCCAATATTGGGTCGTTTCAGTGGACCTCGGGAGCTTGATGTTGTTTCGCTACCTGTGCTAGACTCTTAGGTAGTCGTTTCAGGAAGATTGGCCGCCGACATGCGGATCCGAAAGAGTAGGGTCGTGCTAATAATGGAGCTAGGTATCATGACGTTGTCGAATGCTTCTCGAACTTCTAAGCTAAGGGTTAGAGTTTTTTTTTGTATAAGTAGTTTTTTTCTTTCTTTCTTTGCACACGCTTACATGTATTGTAGGCATCTCACTCGCTTGGATCCCGTCTTTCTTCTTCGTCTTGAACTACTTCGTAGGTAGAACACTCTCGACAACTCCATCTACATCCTTAGGCACTTAATAGTGGTAGATATTGGGTACCTTTTTTGGCGTGTTTGAGCCTCCTATGTTTATGGTGTACATGCTCTACTTACCCATATACTTTAGGCTTGCTCTACTTCTACACTCGCCTTATAGAAGTACTAGAACTTCATCACCTAGAAACTTGGATATCATGACCTTGACGAGAGTCTTCTAGGTATTTGGATATGCAGAAAGCTGTTGCTCCACATAGGTATCTGCTTTAAGTATGTAGTAGATAGAGCTACTACTATTCATAAAAAATACAAAGTACCTACTTTCAAAGAAATACTACCTACCTAGCTCGCTAGGTAGCCTACCACAGCACACTACAGTAGTGGACATCCAGTTACCTAGGCAGGTACAGCTCCACTTGCCTGCTGTAGGTACATTACTTAGGTGCCGGCACTGTAGTGGAGATAAAGCTAGGTAGGTGCGTGAGTACCTTCGTAGGTACTCGGGTACAGTAGGTACCTAGTACATACTGGAGACCACGCCACCACACCATCTTCACGCTGTGATTTGCTCTCCGGCCTTCCACCTCCACAGACAACATCTTCAGCTACCCGTCTTCGTTAAGTACATGTAGCTTAAGTAGCATTAGGTTGTCTTTGTTTTCAATCGAATCACGCGCTGCCCTCTCGGGATCTCGACGACTCCCCCCTCCCCCAAGAGTCACCATCGAGAAAACTCGGGATCGATCTTGTTCTCACACTTCTGTGTCGTCAATCAATTACCTAGTCGTTATCAATCTCGACATCCCCAATTTCCGACCTCTGAATTGGGTGGGTACACAACCCGAGAAGCTTTTTCCACTGCCGCCTATCAACTTCAGTCGAACCCGAGCTGAAGCTCCAAAGCACCCGGGCACCAGAGCACCACCCAAGGCAGGCTGAGAGTAACCCCAACTCTCCAGTCCCCAAGTCCCAAGTCCCAAGTCTCAAGGCCCAAGGCCCAAGTCTCGATTGTCGCTTGCCGATACATGTATGCATTGAGCGCGGCCATTTAACCATCTGCCTCTGTCGCATCGCAACGAACTTTTCCTTCTCTTCTCCTTCCCCTCATTTCATTCCTCCACTGCCCGTGCGAGCTATCACTTGATGCGATTCTGTTATTTTCAGCGGACGACGCATTGATTGAAAGCATTCAACTCGGGCAAGAGTTTTATTCCTTTGTGAGAACCTTAACATAACTAACCAGGTCATTGGGTGCCTTGGACCGTAATCGCTGCCATCTTGTCTCCTCATTCAAAGACTGCGTACAGCTCCGTCGCTCACCGACCTTGGTCCCCTCATTCCGGTTCCCCCTTCAACTAGTATCCCGGGCTTGTTTGGATTGCAGGTATTTCTTCAATTGTCATCATGGCGTCTACTGAGGTTTCTGCCACGAGGCTGTACCTTGGTAATCTGCCCAAAGGTGGTGAGTGTCGCTGTTTTTGCTAGAATCGCGAATCCTATCGTTTTGGTTACACGTTCGCTACCTCCCCGTACTGTTCATGTGCTAAGCCGCCCTTGTAGCTACGAAGCAGGATGTTGAATCGCATTTCGCTACCCACGGCACTGGCAAAATAACCGAGATCAAGCTTATGAACGGTTTCGGCTTCATCGAGTATGAGGATGCCATGGATGCGCGAGACGTGGTTCCAGGTATGTTCATCATCTCCCATTCATACAAGAAGCTCATGGGCTAATTTCTGATGCGCGCGACAGCTTTCCGTACGTCATGGACCATTCCTGGCCATCGCCTTCCCTGATAACGATCACCCTCCGTTGTGTCCTGGCTAATATGGCGACAAGATGGATCGGACTTTATGGGCGAACGCTTGACCGTCCAGTTCGCTCGCGGCTCCCGCCAGCGCGAAGGATTTGGTGCTCATGAGCGTAGTGCCCCGCGACCGCGCCGAACTCCCTATCGCATGCAGATCACCGGACTCCCCAATGATACCAGCTGGCAGGTCTGTTCAATTCCCGTTTTCCATTGCCATCCTGGATTCTGGCGTTCCCATATGTTTCCTCTTTCGGCGTAACGGGATGTAGCGTGCATCGTGCTATTGCTGGTGACATTCGTAAGGATGGCGACCGTCAAACTCCTGGTTCCTGTGTACGACATCTTGATATCTAAAGTTTTGAATTCAATTCCTGGAGGGGTCCCAAGAGCTGGATGAAAGACTTTGAGATGTTTCCCTGTCGGACTGTGCACCGGGTGTCTGGATTGGTTTAAATCGACCCGCATTGCTGGTTCTGCTTCTGGATACACAAACAATCTGGCCTCCTCCGCAACTCACTTGCCACGCCTTGGACTTCCACTTACATGGACTCTGGATATAGGACCTCAAAGACTTTGCTCGACAATCGAGCCTCGACGTTGTCTACTCGGAAACAGGTCGTGATGCTAACGGTCGAGGGTTCGTGCTCCCATGAAATGAATGCCTAAATTCCGCGAAACTGACGAGTTCATATACAGCTTTGTTGAATTTGAAACTGCAGCTGACCTGAAGACTGCCGTTGAAAAGCTTGACAACCGCGAGTTCAAGGGACAACGCGTTAACTGCGTTGCTGATGTAGGCTCTCATGCAAGCGCAGCACACTAAACTCTGCTGACGTTTTCGTCAGACGCAACCAGACTTCCCTCGTGGAGACCGCCGTTCTCGTTCACCCAAAGGCCGACGACCATACGGAGTGCCACCCGATGGCTACGACCGTCGACCTCCACCGCGTGGCTACAGTCCCCGAGGCTACCGCGACGATTATCGCGATAGAAGCCCTCGCCGCGACTACTATGACGACCGCCGTTATAGATCGCCCCCGCGTCGCGGTCCAGTAGACGAGTACGGCCCTCCGCCTCGAGGGCGTTACGAAGATCCCTACCGACGGGAGTATCCGCCTCCCGATCCGTATGTTAACGGTCGCCCTTACGACCGCCCGCCTCGAGAGTTTCCACCACGAGAAGGTGGATATGGGCCGCGTGAAGGTTTTCCTCGCGAAGATTATCGGCGAGGAGGTTACTGGTAAACATATCTTATTCTACTTATATGAACGCACCCCCTTACGTTATCTAGATCCTCAACCGAGACCAGACGGGAACGAAGTAATGAGAGGGAGGAGGGAATGGAATCTGGGGCGATTGTCTCACGTCACAACCAAAAAGCAGTCTTTTCCGCAATGATAGGATATTTTGGCCGTCGGTAATAATGGAAAATGGAGTTCTTGACGATCAACATCCCAAGGAATATGGTGTAAGAATGGCAACTAGGAGTAATGTTATCGTTTGAAAAACAAAAACACCGGTTCCCCCATTTCCTCTGTGAGCAAACATTGCAGCTAGTTTATCTATATTTGTCCGATTGCTAGAAATGGCTATTTAAGTCGTCTCCCTGCCGTTTCATGGTGGTCTGAGATGCGTAGGTAATCGAGGCGGCTCCCAGGCGGCTCTCAGACGCAGCCCTGATCTGGTGTATGTCATAGACAAGCTCCGATCCCTCTATTCAAGTCAAAGCCAGCTCCACGAGCTTTGCCCCGACGCGGCAAGCTGCACGCTCGTCAAGTGGGCCTGTTCAGTACTACAACTGCAACGGGCAAAAAGCGTCATGCTTTTTACCTACCTACCTACCCGCGAGCGGGTTTCTAGCCGCAATTATCAATTCCAGCAGAGGAGCTCGGACTTAGCAAAAGACACGCATGCATGTATGCATGCACTTGCTTCTTCTGTATTAATAATGTCGAAACTGGGCTCCACCCTGACCAAGCATCCCACACGCAGTCAATTACCAGTTGGTTGAGGCGCGCCATCACGTATATAATCGACAAATCATGCAACAGGCGGGTTAAAGCTGTTGTAATACTAACCCCGCCCTCGGCCTCCGCTGCTTACAAACAAAGAAGGAGGAGCTTTACCAAGCTTGCCTCGACTCTCTTCGATTGGATTTCATGTCTCTCCGTCGGCCTGCATTGAGTTCGCTGCGGCGTATAAGAAGCGTCACCACTCGCACCTCCTATGTTCATAGTACTACACGATGTTCATCCTTCAGCTATTTCAACAATACTAACCTCGCTCCTACATCATCACGTCCCCAAGCTCTCCCCGCGACCTTCGTCCCCAAAACTTCATATTCTACTTCGAATCAACAGTCATCTAATCCATCGACGCCATCAGAAGTGAAAGAAGAGATGTCTGAGCCAACAGGTCTTATTGCTAAGAGCGGCATCGAGCTGCTCACGTTCGGTACGTACAGTAGCCTGCCACCCTTTAACTAGGTCTTTTGTCTTCCATGTCAACATTGTCTTTTGACAATACATGAGAGTATTAAGCCGCATAGGGACATATTATTATGTGTGTTCACTTGGACTCACATTTCGCAGGCACACCCAATGGCTACAAGATCAGTATTCTCCTTGAGGAGCTCAAGGAGGCCTATGGCAAAGAATACACATGGCAATCCGTCAACATTATGAAGAACACCCAGAAAGAGCCTTGGTTCACCGCTGCCGGCGCAAATGGAAGGATACCGTATGTATCTTGACCCTCACATTCGTATTTTGCCCAGCTCTGCACTTCAATCTGTTGCCATATAGCGTCTAATCACTGGTGGCTTACGCCTAAACTATACCATGAGCGTTAGTATCTAACTGGAGGACTTATCAGGGCCATTGTCGACCATGACCGCGATGGATTTGCTGTATTTGAAGGCATGGCCATTCTAGGATACCTGACGCGCCGGTATGATCCGGAAAACAAATTCAGCTTCCCAGTCGACAGCAACGAGTATGACGAGGCCGAGACCTGGATGGCTTGGCAGCACGGTGGTTTAGGCCCAATGCAAGGCCAAGCCAACCACTTCCTACGTTTTGCCAAGGAGAAGATTCCGTACGGCATCCAGCGCTATATCGGCGAGTCAGAGCGTCTATACGGAATCCTCAACACGCGTCTTGCAGACCGCGACTACGTCGTTGGCGGCAAGTTCACTATCGCCGACATTAACCTCCTGGGTTGGGTCAATGCCACGATGCTCGCTGGCATTGACCTTGACGCACAGTTCCCTAATGTCGCGAAGTGGCTCGAGCGTTGCCTTGCCCGTCCCGGTGTGCAGAAGGGCTTTGCTATTCCGAACGAGTCGTCTTTCAGCAATGCCGCGGTCAAGAAGGCCATTGCGACTGATCCCGAGAAGAAGAAGCAGTCTGAGGAAACGGCAGCTTTGATCAAGGATGCTAAGGAGAAGTACGGCTACAAGTACTCTTCGCCCTAAATTTGAGCGCAGACTCAAGTATGGTTGAGTACTACGAGGCAACAGTCATGTAGTTTTATAATATCGAAGGATCTTGAGTCGTTTGACTCGTATGATTCCCCAGGGGTCCATGATATATGTATAATAGCATAAAGGCCTGCATAGTTCATGAGGAACGAGAAACCCTATTAATAGCCAAGAATTGAATCACAACCACTTCCTATCTACACACAGCAGGTCCACAGCATCTATTTAGGACTGCCTCGTGAATCCGTAAATAATTGACTTAATAGATTGGCCAATTGGCCCCGGGTCGAGACGTGTCTGCTGGGTTTATAAATGCGCTCCAGTGGGATGGCATCGCCAAGTTTGGCATTTACCGGTTTACTGGGGAATCGCGCCGTGCCGTCGGTACGATTCTTCTCCGGCACTCCAATTATTTCCCCGCAGTCCTTCTCCGCTCCTAATCATTCATTTTACATGAGCATAGGTTTGAACGATAATGCTATAGCGCTGTCATCGACTTGGGTGAAAAGGTACGATCGAGATCTTGACCCCAGCTCACGTCGGTGGGAATTGCTATTTCCCCGCCTCATCATGGTTAGGAAGAATCAAGGCCGCTCTGAATGGGTCTTGGGGAGGAAATTACGCGAAGTATAACTGGGCTATTTATTGCAGGTCATAGGGATATGTAGAACACTGCTCTCCCCGTTTTCTTTCGTCCCTGCTCTTCTATGAGAATGTGAGCCGAGAAAAGTTGACAGATAATGATATAATTGCTATTGAGCAGCTCAGCTAGTAGAAATTCCTGCTTCACAAGATCAGTAGGCACGAGCTTTGCTTACTATGGCGATCTCAAGAAGCTTCCTCGTTACGGCAGTGGCGGGAATGGTCGCCGCTCAGAACAAGACCACAGTCTCAATATCTGTGCCCTTGAACCTGAGCACGCGGGCCTTGGTACCAGATGTGTATGGATATTCGATCGAGCCAGTGTGGCTAGATTCCTATATCAACACCTCGCTAGCAAGCACACTACTAGGCCACATCGTAAACGTCGCTGGCAAGGCGCCGCCGATCCGCATCGGCGGCAATACAGCAGATCAGACTTACCTATACCCATCCTCGCCACTACCGCTAACAAGAAACGACTCGGCAGCGATTCCAGACGCGGCGACCGCCACGCGATTCAATATCACGCCTCGCTGGTTCGACACCTGGGCAACATACTTCCCGCCGGGCACGGAACTCATCTACACGCTGAACCTCAGGGACAACTCCTCAAACTGGGCCAATGCTGTAGCACAAGCCGCAGCCGCACGCGCGGCGCTCGGAGATTCCCTCGTAGCCTTCGAGCTCGGCAACGAGATCGACCACTTCATCAACAAGGGATGGCGAGATGCCTCATGGGGTGTCAAGGAATACATAGAGCAATTCCGGAACCTGACGGGCCAGATCACGGGGAGCGAATGGTATCAATCTCTCGGCAACAACAACGTTCCAAGTTTCCAAGCCGCCGTGTTCGCCGACCCGCCCTTGGTCCCGGACCAGCACGACGAGATCGACGACTTCAGCATCGCGAACCTGACCGCGGCGGGCATTGCCTCGCGACCACAGGAGAAGAAAATCATATCGAGCTACGCGACTCACTTGTACCCGCAGTCGACCTGCGACACCGCGCGCTGGTATCGCATGCGTCTCGACCTACTCTCGGACCACGCCGTGCTATGGAAGAACGTCAGTCAGTACATTCCGCAGGTACATGCTGCGGACGAAGCGGGCGCACCACTAGTTATGGGCGAGACCAATTCGGCGTCTTGCTCCGGGAAATCGGGGATCAGCGATACATTTGGGGCCGCGCTTTGGGGGGTTGATTATGGTGAGTCGATATTCGCATCCACCACGAGTCTTTATTCTGCCTCCCTTTTTCCTTTTTCTTTTCTGACGTGTTGCGGTGATAGTGCTCACGGCCGCAAGTATCGGGTTCCGCAAGGTGTACTTCCACCTCGGCGCGCGGTCCGAGTACTCCTCCTTCACGCCGCTGCTGTACGAGCTGAAGAACGAGACGCTGGCGCCCGGCATTAGAGCCGGCTGGTACGCACATTACTTCCTCGCGAGAGTCGTTAGCCATAACTGCGAGAGGCGGGCGGAGTTCCGCATCGCGGCACTGCCGAGCGCGAACTCGAGTGAGTTGAGCGGATTCGCGGTCTATGACGGTGGTGTGCAACTCCGCAAACTCGTGCTGCTTGATATGGGTGTGTGGAACGGCACCGAGGGCCTCGCGAACCCGTCGACGCTGACTGCGACTGATGGGACCATGTTCAGCGAGGGCACACGGCCTGTTTCCTCATTCGAGGTTGCCACACCTTGGACTGAAGGCGACGAGGTCAAAGTGGTCAGGCTCACGGGGCCGGGGACGAATGCTAAGAGCAATGTTACTGTTGCCGGCACCGTATTCGATGATAGCACTGGAGATCCCGTTGTAGGTGGCGATGGCTCCGTACAGCTGGGTGATGAATACAGTGAGATCGCTCAGGTCGGGGCTAATGGGGTCCTGAGGCTTGATGTGCAGAGAGCTGAGGGTGTGTTATTGGAGAAGACTGTAGTTTGTGCTGATGAGGGCGACGATGACCGGAACAGCCCAACCCCAGGAACTTCTAAGACATCCCGGGCGGAGATGAATTGGTTCAATATCCTTGCGGCCCTTATCTGCATAGTTGAAATTCTAGCATGATAATTCACATATCTCGACATATCTTTATGTATTCGAGGTTAAGTTTGATTTGCAGTCATTTCCAGGCGCATCTCTTAGATCCTCTAATTACTTGGCCTAGACCCAGTGAGTATAACTACCAGGCACACATAATTCAAGTATAAAGATTGTAACGGGCCTTCACACCTAATTTGATTTATTAGCATGTATACGTTGTTATGTCTGCCTAATTCCAGAAATCGGTGGGTTGACGATGAGTTGAGCTAGAGAATCCATAAAAAGCGGCCAGTGGCGAAAAAGTCAAGTTACCACCTGGGTGGCCACCCAGCTGCTCCGCCACACGCCGCAACAAAACATCACCTATCTTCCCATTATCATCATATGAACAATCATCCAACAATAGACCATCTTCTGCAATTCAATCTCCCACCTCATCAGGTCGCCCTTCGTTATGCCTTTCCTCGCTTCCAACACGTCATCCTCATCTGACCCCAAAACCGACTCATCCATGTCGGGGCAGACGCAGACACAGACAGGGGATTCGAGTTCTACCGCCACAGGCGCTGGCGTAAACACCGGCGCGGGCACAACGCGCGAGAAAACGGAAGCCGAGATTGAAGCTGACCGCCTGTATGAAGAGGCCATCGAGGAGGAATATGCAAAGAGGGAAGGGGGTGCTTGATCAAAGCCCAGGATGACCACACCGGCTCCTCATACCCCGTCGAGTCAGATGATTACCCTCACATCATTACCCAATTTAGCTGTCAATCTTGAGGTTATTAGGTATTCATTTTGATCACAGTTTCGTCGGATGGGTGTCATTGTCGTTCTGCTAGAGAAGGGGCCCCGGATGGCGCCTTTTCTGCCTTATTTTCGCTATGCGTCAGTTCATCGTCTCAACATAATGAAGAAAAAAATAAATATTCCCCTCTTGCAATGCGCTCATAAGTTGTTTCCAAAGGGGATTAATACTGTGTAGTTGGTCAAGAACCTGACGTGATGTTGATGGCTCATAGTATCGGTGAGATTTAGCAGGGGTTAAGTATTATGAAGCAGGCCATCCTTCACCGGTCACTTGGGAGAATGACCTTTAGAGACATAATTTCTTAGTGCCCGTGTAAGCTTGATATTTATACTGGTCTCTACGAATGAGGGATTGAATCTGTCCCGGTGAAAGTACATACTCACTGCAAGATTCAAGCCATCCGATGCATCTGCCTCAGCTGACTTCACTTGACCATTTCAAGTAATATCCAGTACATTTTTTTCTCCTTAAATTAGGCCAGCTAACACCGGCCATTGAAATCCAAGTATAGCACCGTGGTCCTACAGCATAGGTAGCTCACAACTCTTACTATGAGGCCTTTTTAATCTAGTTGACAATGACAGGCATGTTAGCGAGCAACAAGAAAGCCACCTAGCTTGCGTCATATGCATATCGTGTAGAGTGGCTATAATGCAAGCCGACTTCGATGAGACCCTGTCAAGGTGAGACCTGCAGTGCGCTCGCTACATATGGGCTAGTACAGGTCGTGGGAACCCCATTAGAAAGATTCAATGACCACGAACGAGGATTATCCAGGACGAGATGCCACAGAAGGTCCTCCCAAGGCTCTGGAATTGATGAATACCTTTCGTACTAATTTGTAAGTAGTGTTTGTACAGTCAAAGGACCTGAGACTCACTTTCAACAGGCTAAGCATGATGGATTCAACAGTTTTCCTTGCCTTCGAGAGCCTCTTAAAGAACATCCTGCAGTAATTTCTCCTAGCTTTATCATCATGAACCGCACCTACACCTCTTGCACAAGACATTCGATTCCGTGGGGGTTGTCTCATCAAGAAGCTTACCGAGACACTATAGTAGCGCCATGATGGTCCAGATCCAAGTGGATGATGCACCAGCCTTGGAGATACGTCTTGGTATGATACTGCGATCGATGCTGCCGTGTCACATCCTCTCAGATATAGGTAGACCGATAGGGCGTGGAATTTGACCATCTGTCGGGGAAAGGAACAAGCCCCCTAGCCACAACCGACATACCTAGACCGTCGATAAGAAGAAGGCTGCTACTAGGATTACGTCTCTAATATCGACTAATATTGTTGACAAAGGGTCACCAAAAATGACTATCTCTCAGCTAATCTATAGTCAAAATCTTTTAGTAACTATAATTGATAGTCATCAAGCATATTAGTCGTTGATTGCCACTATACTCTAGCCGCTTATTGCATATTGTTATAGCTAAGATCGTCAACTGCCACTGTAACTTCAGCCCATCAGATGTTTCTCATAGAAACAGATTCAAACTGCCTCCCTAGAGGCCGGGAAATCTGTACGACATCACAGGCTTCGCGTGACGGCCCGGGACCTGCCGATGCATGTCACCTACTAGCGTCTGTGATAAGAATTACCAGGAACAACTGACCAAGCCTAGTGTTGTGCTTCAACTCTTGCCCATATTGTTAGGGAGCTGAGCCAATAGGCTTACCAATTCCTCATAGTCACATACCGCTCTTTCACGAGGCTACGTACTATATCAAAGTGTCACTTTGATGCCATGTTACTTGGGCTGTGGTGGGTATGGCCGGCCCAATCGTCGCTGTCCACGAAGTCGCAAGCCGTCATCATAACCTCATGCTTCCAGATCTCTTGCGGCTCCGCAAACTGGTGGAAATACCCCTTACCCTGAGCAGCACTCCGCGTAGTAGGGCTTATTGATCTGCAGAGCGGAACCCGGCTCGGGTATATTGACATGACTCCTTACTGATATCAATTTTTCTTGAGCATTGTAAAGCTTGCCTAAACAGCTAGTAAGGCAGAATGGGTGCAGAGTGAATTGGGCGTCTTGACCTAGCTTACTGCGTCCAATACTTGTGCGTTTGTGTGCTCCTTTGCGTCTCATACATATCAGTCAGCACATGATACCTGTGCTTGTGATGCCTATGCAGCAATGTTACCACACCAATGTGGTGAGGTGGTATGTCGAGGATCGACATATAAATTTACTTGGTTCAATCGTTCAGCTAGCTGTCTATTATAAACCCGAAGACCGAATTCATGGAATAGGTGCATGATCCTTCATGGGAATATCTGCCGCCTGCGCGCAAGTTACGTCAGGAGGCGCATGGATGGTAGCATGCAAAGTCCTGAAGGGATCTCCGCCCTATCGCGTTGAGCTTCTTCTTTGGTGGAAATTAATGTTGACATCGTGGTAATTTCAACAAGTGCATCGAAGCCCAAGCATATCTCTCCTGCAACTTTTACCTTGTGACTCTGAAATTTTTCCGTTGTCAGAGCCTGGGCTCTCGGCCCATCTGCCGTTTAGTGTGAGGTTTCAATCAATGACGGGCCGTTCCGATAATTCTTAATTCTTTCACTATCGGGCCTTGGGTTGGGCTAGCTCTCGTGATAATCTACCGCATAAACCACCTACAGAATATCACAAAAGTCCCAGCTTACGTGCCTGATGCGGCCTAACCATCCTTGCTTGCGTGATCTTTCGCATTGTTCTCCGACTCTGGTGCAGTCCAGACCGCTTTTGCCGCGGTTGCCTATACCTCGCCCGTGTCGTGAGGATTAGCTAATCATCGAGGCCATAACGAACGCCACTCAGAGTGAGCTGACAGGAATGTAGGGAAAGAAAAAGAAAAGAAAATATATATATCATATTTTACCCCTTAGTATAGTCGATTAGGAGGATGCTTACTCGGTGCCTTCCCATTTGAATCCCAACAGGTCACAGGTCACCCCCCTTCTCGACATTCTATGTACTAAAGATTCTCAAGTATAGGTTTTCAAGACCAATTCCTATCCACAGAGAAACAGAGACTGCTAGTACAGAGCCACATCTACTCAAGTTATCATCCTCACTCTTCCTCTGTATTGGTTATCTGATACCATACCACCAGCTATCCTTGTCCATTTCTCACGATGGCACCACATATCGAAGGATTATCATCCACTGGAAACTTCGCTAGCAATCTGGACAAGTTGTCCTTGAATTCGACTACGTCTACAAGGTTAGACAGAGGTAAGCTTAGATCAATGGTCTCGACTTTTATTCTCATGGCAATTCTCATTAAAATATAGTTCATACAAGAGGCCGCGTGAATGCTATTCGTTCCTTAGTCCCGGGAGTTTATGTGCCAACACTTTGTTTTTTCGACCCCAAGACGGAAGACATAGACACAGATTCCATTGCTAGTCATGCAGTACGACTAGCCCAGGCCGGTGTCACAGGTATTGCAACTCAAGGTTCGAATGGCGAAGCTGTTCACTTAACACATGCCGAACGCGAGCTAGTAACGGCAACGACTCGTTCCGCATTGGACCGTACCGGTTTCTCACATGTTCCGGTGATAGTTGGCTGCGGTGCCCAGAGCGTCCGTGAGACGGTCGAGCTCTGCTGTGAAGCGGCGGAAGCAGGGGGTGACTATGCGCTCCTATTAGCCCCGTCATACTACGCCACACTGTTCGCCCCGTCTTCGGAAACGGTTGTGAGGTATTTCAGAGAGGTGGCTGACGCCTCTCCCATCCCCATCATCATCTACAACTATCCAGGGGCTGTCAACGGGTTAGATCTCTCCTCTGATATAATCTTGACTTTGGCCCAGCACCCCAATATCGTCGGTGTCAAACTCACTTGTGGGAACACTGGCAAGCTGAACCGTATCGCCTCCGCTGTGAGAGAAGCTACGTTCACTCAGAAAGGGAATGATTCTGTCAATCCGGGTTTCTTGGTACTCGCGGGCTCCGCCGACTTTACGATCCAGTCTCTCATCGCTGGGGGTCACGGCATTCTCGCAGGACTGGCTAACATCGCACCAAAGGCATGTATCAAGACGTTCGAGCTATACAAGGAAGGTAAGATGGAAGAAGCACAAAAGATGCAGGAAGTCGTGTCACGAGGGGACTGGACGGCCATTCAAAACGGGGTTGTCGGCGTAAAGTCTGGGCTCCAGTCGTGGCTGGGATACGGCGGGTTCACCCGGAGCCCGCTTCCCAGACCAACAAGCGAAGAATCCAAGGCGTGGAAAGAGGGGTATCGAGAATTGATGACACTGGAGAAGACGTTGTTGTAACAGGGCTGCTGTGACCCGAGGGACTGGCAAGCCCCGGCCGGCTGCCACGTTCACTCGCTGGCATTTAATGGAGCGGACGAGCGTTCTCTCACCTTACGTCTTGGGGTCGCTAAGGCATCTATTGGTTGATATACTTTTGTTTCTTGCGCTACTGCGTCAGTTGATCATGCGATTGTCAGTCGGGCAGATGTACGGCATACACGCAGCATAGGAGTGAAGGGTGAGAGTCACGCAACATCTTTGCAGACTACTCGCCTAAGCTTGTTGTGATTTGGACTTCATCTGTATAGAAATCATGGTAGATTGAAGCGTGTCATGAATATGATTCTCCTATATCAGCCAGGTATTCCATCATCGTCTTAGTCACCGTTCACATCCCGCACTGTTGTCATTACCGTTGTGTGTAAGGCCTAAAGTTTATGTAAGGTCTGATAGCTCCAGATAGGGCATATGAGCAAGTTAGGTAACTGAGATCTTCCACCTTGATCTCAATGGTTGGTGCATGCTCCAACGTGGCGTTTGTGCAACCTCTTCTCCCTTGATTGCCACCCTATCTGTTCCGTCCACACGACCGGTCCGATCCAATCTTGGTTCTTTATCTCGTGTCACGAGATATTTTAGACAAAGGTACTACGCCAGTTCAGGAAGTTCAGAAGAGACTGAATGAAATAAAGCCGACAACTCGGGTTGATTAGTTAGCAGGCGGTACTACTATTACCGCCAATAAACAATCTCAATGCGCAGCATTCACTACCCTGCCCGATGTTTCGGAGCCTACTAATGTCGAATCAAACTTTTAATATTACTATTTAAGTAGTTACAATATTCTCCGTGAATCAATATCCGACTTATTGTTTACTCGGCTAGGCACATGACTCTGGCTGACTAGAATTCAAGCCAGATGTCTCAGGATCGAATCCTCAAATGCCGCGTGTAGGAAACCTCATCCCTGTAGACCGTTGCTGACAGGTCTGACAAAAAATCTGAGTGGTCGTCGTTATCTTGACCAAATCATTCTTCAAGACATCTCTATGAAGCATTGTCTTGCTTCATTTCCACAGCACCGTTGATACATCGCCCCTTATTAACAGGCAGTGACCAGTATTTTGTCTTTAGATATATGTCTGTACTTCAGATCTCTCAGCTATGTGTATCACTCTAGGACTACAAGAGCCCAGCTAACCGACAAACTATGGCTAGACGATGAAAAAATCTGTTCTCTGACATGGGATATGTTTGAAATGTCATCACTAACGGAAACGAACAAAAAAACTTTAAGTTGGGCATTTCGTGTATGGATTCTCGATAGTCAGGCAGTGGTAAGTATAGTCTTAGAACCGTGTCTCTGTGGCGAGGCAGCGATATACTTCAGAGAAAACAAAAAGGTCAGTAGTAACAGGTAACTTGTCGTAGAATTTCACGACATATCCTTGTTCTATCGCAGTAGACAATATGTTCAACTAAGATCGCTATAGACCAGATACCTCCTAAGTATCACAAATACAACGCTTTAATAATCAATAATTCAGGCGTGTGTCGAAAAAACTCAAGGTCTGTGCTCGTGAGAATATCTCCGGAGACAATGAGGCTCTCTTCAATGCATGTGTGTAAATAGAGAGCTGGGGATTCTGATTAATTAGGCAGGTAGTATCTATGAATACGAGGTATTTCGGCTTGCTGAGTTTTCAGGGCAAACAAGTCATCGTTGGACTATATCACTGCATACAAGATTCACAATGTGCCACCTTGCTGCGTTGTCTTTGGTCACCTGGATCCAATACAGATGAGGATGAGATGGGAAATCTGGGTCACCTCCGATCTCGCGCCGTGCTTGTATCTGGAGATGTTGGTTCGCGCTATCGTGAGCGAGTCCTGCTATCAAAAAAATCTGGCAACGTTAGTACAAAGTTGCCTGCTTTCACTTTGTCATTAGCAAGAGCATAGCATACCTTAGAGTGCAGAATCTGGACGCAGGGTTACACGGCGTGCCCCTTTCGTCAAGACACGCAGCAAACAGCAAGAGAAACGGCCTGTGCTGAGGGTCATCCCATCATGTACCCGGCTGCATATGGCACAGTGCTCTCCGGGAGGCGACAGCACATATCCCCGTATGTAAAGTCTACATGCATACATGCTTGGCTCCCTCGTGGTCCTGCAACCTAGTCCTCTTCTGCGGCTTGCCGAGCCCGAAGCACTCACTTCTGGCCGTGAAACGCCTACATTTGTAGTACTCGCGTGAAATCCATGCCGGAAACTCCAGTTTACTTCCGTAGCCATCGTCCGTTTTCGGTCGACTACCGACGTCTTTCAGCATTTTGGGTACGCATACGACCTGCAAGCGGCGCGTTGCGAGGATACGCCTGAGGGATGTTCGACAATTAGACCTTCGCCACAGAGCACAGGACTGATGTTCTTCTTTGCTTATCCGGCGTCACACCGAAATCATCGCATCGATAGCGCAGACATCAGCCGTTTTCCGACCTATCACAAATCTTCCCGGAGCGCGCTTTCACCGCGCGCTTCCCTGTAGATGATCAGACGGGCTGTCTCTCGGCCATAAAACCAAGTCAAAAGAATGGCAACTGAAACTTAATGAAGAGTCCGGTGGTAGATGATCATATGGTTTGATATTTCCATTAAAATCTTTGAAGCGGGTCAAGGCGTGACGTACCTCGTGAACTGGTATGCGACTATTACGACACAAATTACTTGCATAAGATCTATTCACCCCCTTGTTCGCCCGTCTAGCGGCTCTAACCACCACAGTTATTGTCAACTTGACTATCTAATATATTAATGCATTTATCATAATGCTTTTCGAGGTGTGCAAGCACGCTTTATACCTCGCCGTTATGGCGCAGATTGGCTATGCCAACGCACAGACCGGGCCGGTGCCCGTTGTTGGTATATCGACAGGCATCGATCAGACTACGGGCAAGGTGCCCTCGCGAATGAACATCAACACGCTAGCGCAGGAAAGGGGACCAATGTGGTATGACTTCCCGGGTTTGAACAAGAATTAGTCTACTTTGGCGAAATTCCTTACACAAGTGAAGGGACCTCCTCATTCGTGGACTCGACGCATTACAGAACAAACCGGAAGACGACGAGCGATCCCATTTTGCTGTAGCTGGTAAGCCTAGCATCATCTCAGAGCAGAGAAAAAAAAATGGCAATAAGGTCTAACCCTCGCTTATAGGCATACATGGCATGCCTTACGCCCCTTACAATGGCGTCGGTCCAGTTTCTGGAGGCTCCGGGGGAGGGTATTGCCCGCACCAAGTACTACCTCTAATACTTGCAATGACTTCATATGCTTGTGAAGCGATGCTAAAATGCAAGTGACATAGTCACCCCAGTTGATCCCTTGGCACCGTGCCTACCTTGCTCTTTATGAGGTAAGATACAGGCGAATGTGTTATGACCGAAGAGATGGCTAAACTACCACTAAGCAACTCCTGAGCGACGAGGTCCGACGTCTCGCTCTGGAGTATACTGATGATGATGCTTCCATCTACCGCGACGCGTCGGAAAAGTTACGTCTTCCGTATTGGGACTGGGCAAGCGATCCAGCTCTTCCACCTTCTGCTTCGAACGAAAATGTCACAATAAACGGCCCAGATGGCGAGATTGAACTTCATAATCCCTTGTACAGTTATCGTTGGCAAACGTACCCGCTGAATGAAACCCAGTTCCCAGGCCAAGGAGGTATAGGGCCAACGACAACGCGGGATATAGATGAAAATTTGCAAAACGCAAACAATCTCATCAGAGATTCCGTGGTAAGTATCGTCGCGCAGATGTAATGAATTCCTAGGACAGTTTCCTGACGTGCCCTATTTAGTACCGCACGTTCGCTTCCACCACAACGTGGGATCAGAGTGAGCACCCCTATGCATGAGGTACCTACCAAGTAAGGTATCATTATGCAGGCACCAAAAAGTCCAAAATATGAGCTAGCCTCTATCATAATAATATAATCTAACCACTAGGTCGTTACAGTGGCTTCGATGGCCGGCTCTGGATCAAGTTTCGAAGCGCCGCACAATATTATCCATAATCTCGTGGGAGGCTCATTTGTGAGCTTGGACCTGACCTCATTCGATGCCTTGTTGTAAGTATTCCTGGATTCTGGATTATCACGGGAGCAAATATTCACTTTCATGCTGTAGCTTGCTCCACCACTGTAATTTAGATAGGCTCGCTGCAATGTGGACAGCATCCCACAACGAAACAATGCAGACGCAGCCATTCCTGAGCCAGGGATTATATTCCACGGCTCAGGGTGAAAACGTCACGGCGGAGAGTTCATTGAAACCGTTTTACGGGGTAGGTGCACACTGTGCTGAACGCTTGTTTTTCTGGCTCTTGATTGTCTGGCAGAAGGGCTGATTCGCTAAACCGAAGGCCGACGGGAAAAGCTTCCATACAGGCAGAACGGTGGCGGCGACTGAGGCGTTCGGCTACACATACCCAGATATTCCAGGTCCAGACCAGGGCCGAACGAAGGACGTTATTGCACAGATAAACCAGCTGTATGGAGACATTGCCGCGGCAAAAAAGTCGGCAGCTGTTCCAAACGCACGACGTGAATGGTTTATTGACATTCACGTTGACCGAGCAGACCTCCCTCTGCCCTGCAGCATCAATGTGTATCTGAAAGACCAACTTGCTGGCCGGACATTACTACTTGAAATGCCGAAGACGGGCATTGCTCACGACGAACTATCGCTTTCCCGAGTCATCAATCGTCTTGATGCTGATAACAATAGATCTGAATATATCGAGAGGGCGCTCAAAAATGACTTACATGTCAAAGTGATGAAGGTAAGTGGCGATCCACACAACAGCAAGTCGGAATTATCAAGCCGAGCGAAAACACCCTTCATGCATACTGCCGTGCGTTGTTACTTAACCACCGGCGAGCTGCATGCATACGCGAGCCGTGTTTCGTACAGTCCTGGTACTGGTTTTCCTCTGAGGCTAACGGTGGCCGCCGCTGGGCGAATAGGGTGACACCACGCTTGACGCGAGAAACATTCCGAGCCTGGGCATAAAAGTAGTTGGCGAGGATGTCACGCCGCCAGGTAGCGAGTCGGAATTCCCTTTGTACAGCAACAGGACGACGTTGATGACTATCAATGTGGCAACTATGCGCAAACATCGGTGGTAAATGTACAGCGTGACCTCGAGCCGAGGACGCACCCGATGAGAGGGCGGGAGCAAATGGGTCAGAGCGATGAGGTAATTGTAGTCCAACTGTATGTACTGTGAGCATCATGTAATCGTGGGGGGTTTTCTGAGAGTTGGTGGCTCTTGATATAGCATCTCTTGATATTTGTTAACATTAACTCCCACCGCGCTTGATGCCTTGTAATATACCTACTTAAACACCAGAGTCATTGGCCTGGAAGCTGAGCGGCGATTACCAAGTCCAACTTGAGACAAGTCTTGATTCAAGGCATAAGAGCCCAGGCCGGTTCGAGTAATGTTGCCTTCTTTTCTGTGGCTGCAGAATGCGAACCTACATAGGCACTCGGTGAGTCTAGGGAGAAGCCCGCGGGAATATCTCGACGCGTCCCGTCCCAACACCGCAACTAGCACCCTTTGCTTGTTGCACATGGCACAACTTCTGCAGGATGCTTGCAGGGGCTCTGGTCTTTTCTGGGCCAGATGCATGCCACACCGTACGCGCAATCGAAATGGATCGAGACCACTGAAGGGGACCCTGGGCAGAGAATTGACAGAGTAAGCCCAGATTGACTCCATCAAGGCTGAGAGAGGGGGCCGTCCTTGATGCCGCGCAAAACACGGTCTAGGTATGTCTAGTGGTGGCCTGTTTTAAATTACCTAGGCAGGTCTGTATATGTACCTAGTACCTACCTACCTAGGCTTATGTTAGGCTAGTAATCGTTCTGGGACATCACTGGAAACAAGGACAATCAGGGCAACTACCGGTCACTACTGGTCTCTATCGTACATGCCTAGGGAGGCATGTAAGTATATAAGTACCTAGGTATGTAGGTTAGGTATCTTGTAAGAAAATCACAGAACTCACCTACCCGACGGTCATTGGTGCTGTACCAGTAGATATGTCCAGTAAACGTGCTAAAGAATGCTTGAAGTCATTAAGAGTCAGTCATTAAGAGTCCGTCTCATCGGAAAACCGGAGAGACAGTGGTAGTGCACAGATAGGCAATGCACTAATTTTCGAGGAGCACCAGTTTTATTTTCATTTTTATTTTTTTTTGGGATTTTCTTGGGGGATTTTCTTGTAGTTGCTGCAAGCGGCCCCCACCATTTGGCTGCGAGCCCGGTCACCCTCCTTTCCCAAGATTCCCAAGGACCCTACATAAGCACCCGTCTATTCCGCATCGCCTCTCGCATGCCAGTCATATGCATGCTGCGAGGACCGCACTAGGTCATCTTCACGCAATCGACTCCTTCCTAGGCGCCGAGAGACCGAGTGGAATGAATTGTGACGCTGTTATTAGACAGCCCCAGCTCATTCTTGTTGTCAAGTAAAGGCACAAGGGGAAAAGTCGGGGTCGAGCCGCGTGCTGGTCCCTCGCTGTTCGTGCCCGTGGTACTGTGGCATCTTAGCTACGTTCAGACATTCCATCTAAATACTGCCTAAATAACCCAATGCCCCGGCATTGACGAGGAAGAATCGTCTGCGTCGCCATTGCTGTTACTAGACAGCCACAAGGTTATCGCGTTATAGGTCTGTTTTGAGCATCCCGACTGTTATCGTTCCAGGCTGGAGCAACATTCAACTTCGATATCATTCAAGGATTGCTCTGGTTTCCCGACCCTCATCCGTGGGAATCATACAAAGAAACAGCCACGGCTGTCACACAGCGATCACTCGACACGACCGGCGGCAGCAGAGAAGTCGGATTCGGTCAGTCTGAAATAAATGCGGTGTAGTAGAGCGCCGTATGCCTAACTTTCTCTATACAACAGTATTGGGAGCCTAACTGGCCGCACTTTGTACCGATCTTTGAACCATGTGCCAAGAGCTCTATCAGCGGTGGCAAAGCTGCTCGTGTTGGGGATTTCTAGGCCCGCAGACCTGCCCCGAGCTTTTCAGAACTTGTTTAGGCCCCCGGGGTGAACAGGACAAAAAGATAGTCAAGTGGAACGAGGGCATGTGTACTGAATGCTGGGATAGATTTGTTGAGGAAGCACGGGAAATGGCAGAGGCGGGTGGGACGGGAATCCAAACAAACAAACGACCTGCCGTGTCTACTTCTTCCCCTTCTACTTCCTCTTCTTATTTTTCTCCGTCTTATTCTTCCTCTTCTCCCTCACAAAGTCTATCCACCCCATTGACCCAATACACCCAATCTACCCAGTACAGCCCATCAACTCACTACGGTCCACCAACGCCGACTTCTGCTTCATCTGCCAAATCGAGCACTGCCCAGCGGAAGCGTCATAAAACCACCGCTTGAATGCCTGGCACGTGCAGTATTGCTATTGCAGACTTCAGCGAGCTAGGATTTGGGATCTCGACAATAATAACAATGTCTGGAAAACTTGGAGTATTCCTACGTTTCTCAAGGTCTGCGCCGGGGCGCTAGGCCGAATATCTTATGATTTATGAGTATATGATGGGACTTGGGTTACTCACATGAGAAAATGATAGGGAAATAGTAAATTGGGAAAGAAATTTCATGAATTTTGGGCGGGTAATTTCTTGAGATAGTAGTTTGGCTTGCCTTATAGCATTCTTCGAGGGTATCGTGGAAGTCTAAATAGTTCGGAGCTACTTGTATAATATGTATATATGTTCCTTCATGTCTCAGAAGAATGGACAGGGAAATGAAGGACACAGATTTTGATACTCTCTAATCATGCACACTTTGACGCATATTTAGAGACGATGGAATCAGAGTTAATATATCAGAATGTCTTTTAGAGTTTTAGACCATATACTCGTACATTTGTTGTTCATCGATACAAGACTGGAAATTTTACGTATTGCACATCCTTGAGCCCGAGAAATGATGCGCAATCGTGACTGTTGAAGGAAATGATACATGACAATTGCTTCTCATACTCATGTAATCCCTATGTTGAAGAGTCACGTGTTTTCGAGAGACGGATCACCCATTAACGCGCCTCAGCGGTGGATCTTCAGTGAGATCGGTGCGCGGCGTGACGTAACCCCTCACTACTGATCTACCTACTTAGACTAGGTAGCGGTAGCAATCCAAGGTTGACTCATTGCCCAGTATTCAACTTACCTAGAGATATCCTTTCGCGTTAATGTACATCATGCTTTTTTGGACGAGAAATGGCTGCGCGTGCTGATTGCCGCCCGCAATGCCGTTCCTCTTAACACTCATCTACTCATTTAGCGACTGCATCATCGCATTACTTATTTAGGATGGCTGGGCGGAAACGCAAGGCCGCTGACGACCGGCCAACTAATGCGAAAACGCCCGCCTCACAACGGCCATCAAGGGCGACCAGGTCGACTCGCTCAAGCGCGAGACAGAGCGATGTCCCTGATATATACCGCGACATGCTTGCTGAAGCCGAGGTCCGACCAGCCCTGACCACGGAGGAACCGTCAATAAAGAGGAAACGCCCTGGTCAGCCTCGAAATCAGATAGCCCAACACAGCAAATCTCCGTCCGAAAGACATAGTCGCGTGGACCTCGTTGACCGAAACAAACCCGAACCCGAGGATGAGAGTGAAGATGACTTAGAATTCGAAGACATGGCGCTTCCTGCTGCGACTATCCAGACGGTCTACCGCGACTCGGACGATGACGATGAAGAGGCAGACGAGGAAATAATTTTTGAAGATGTTGATTTCTTTACTATTCAACCTGAAGTTGGCGCTGTCCAGGAGACACAAGATCTTGAGCTTGATCTGTCGGCTCGAACCAAATCTACACCCTCGAAGAATATCAATAGACGAAAACCCATTAACAAAGGAGAGAAAGACCGTCGGATTGAAATACATAAAACGCACCTCCTCTGTTTACTGGCACACGTAGCCCGGAGGAATAGATGGTGCAACGATTCCCAAGTACAGGATAGTTTGAGACCATTGTTGACACAGAAGATGGTCGCGCAACTGAATCCTCCCAGTCGCCTGAACCAGTTTGGACGAGCGAATTCCCTTAAAGAAGGCCTTAATGTAGTGAATAATATGTTTAAAACCAAATATCAAATTACAGAGCGTGGCATGCGAAGAGCGCTTTGGGCAGAGACAGAAGAACATCTCCAAAATGTATTGTCTGCTATTAACCCTACTCCGATACAAAAACTAACCGGAATGCACAGTTCAATTTACCCTCGGACTCAGAATCGCCTTTAGAGAGGTCTGATTTCCGGGAAGCAGCGAAATCTCTCAGCGGCTCCCGGGATGTAGGCACTCAGCTATACTGCGCGCTGCTACGTGCTGCAGGTGTTGAAGCAAGACTTGTTTGCTCCCTACAGCCGCTCTCCTTCAACTCAGCAGGGCCATATATGGGAGTCAGTCACAAAAAGAAACAGAAGTTAACGCTAGAGGAAAAATATGGTCAACTCTTCAAGCCTAGCGAACCTATTGAGTCACCCACAGACTCTTCTGCTCTCCCTCCTCGCAGACGGTTAGGGCATCCAAACGCGGCAGCCTTTAGGATGCCTGAAATTTCACCTGGACCCTCTCGCCAAGTAGTAGCGACCCCTAAAAAGATCCGAGAATCTCCCTATCCAGTTTACTGGGTTGAGATTTTGGATGAGGGGCATCAGAAATGGCAGCCGACAGACCCGTTAGTCACGGGGTCTTACTGGAAACCCCAAAAACTTGAACCTCCAGCGTCCGATAGGGAGAACAGCATGGCGTACGTTGTCGGATTCGAGGAGGATGGCACAGCCACAGATATCACTCGGCGCTACGTAAAGGCATACAATGCGAAAACAAGGAGAATGCGTGTCGAAGGTGTCCTAAGCAACGGCGAAAGGTGGTGGCGTAAGGCACTTCGGGCATACTCACGAGGCTACAGGAGCGACTTGGACCAAATCGAAGCAAACGAGTTAGCCGCGATAGAGGGCCGGGAGCCGATGCCAAGCAACATTGCCGATTTTAAAGACCATCCTATATACGCCCTAGAACGACATTTAAGACGTCACGAAGTATTGATACCAAATGCCACCCCATCAGGGACTGTTGGGGCAGGCAGTAAGGCACCCCTGGAGAAGGTGTACAGGCGCAGAGATGTGAGGACTGCCCGAAGCAGAGAAAAGTGGTATCGACTCGGTAGAGAAGTGCGGCCAGACGAAATACCAGTGAAATTCTTGACGAAGCCGTCCAAAATGCACGAAGATATCTTCAGTGATGAGGTACAACAAGAATTAGGGGAGGGTGAGACAAATGGCACGCCAATCTATATGATAGATCAAACAGAAGTCTATAAAGCACCCCCAGTCATTAATGGCAAGGTGCCGAAGAATCGATACGGTAATTTGGATCTCTACGTGCCGAGCATGATACCAGAAGGTGGTGTCTACATCGCTGATGAATTCGGGACTCGGGCAGCATTTACGTTGGGCATCGATTACGCGCCAGCACTCACCGGATTCCAATTCCATGGAAGGAAGGGGACAGCAGTTCTCCGTGGGGTAGTAGTAGCTGCAGAATGCGAAGAGGCTATGAAAGCCGTCATAGAGGGAATTAAAGACCAAGAGGTTGAAATGGAGAGGGAGAGAAAGCGTCGCGAAGTGCTCAGGATGTGGAGGCTGTTCCTCATGAACCTACGAATACGACAGCGCCTATGGGCGGGCTTGGACACGGACAATGAAGAAATGGAAGACGTTGGGCATAACCACTCAGGCCATAGTGACGATGACGAGGCTGCTGGTGGTGGCTTTGAGATTGACGATGAGTATGCTGGGGGATTCTTGCTTGAATGACACAGACCATGCCGGGTTTGCGTCCATCTCGGTATCGCTTAGACCAAGTAAACTAGGCTAAAATACCTAGCGGTTGGGGTTACCCGAGACGTTCAGCCCTTACATTACTTACAGGTGGTATCCAGATTTGTATGCAAGTATGCAGGTATATCCTCGCTTAGGTCCCAACGATACGACCCCTTGATCTAGGCAACCGTTTCGAGCCTGGCCAAGCAAGTACACCAGCACTGCCAAGTGATAACGTGCGTACGGATTACTGCTATATATATTGACACATATGGAGTACCTACCACTATGTGTAACATCGACTTTAAGTCGTTCGCCTAGCAGACCTACTTAGGTAGGCAGGTAAGTATGTAGGTTGACCAATTAGCCGTGCAACCAGTCTACTACGAAGTAAAGCATACTAGGCATGTTAGCCCTATCTCCACTCATACTGCAGCATTTATGCAAACCATCGCCCAACTGCGATGTCCTCATCAATGTAGGCACGCGTACTGTCCTGTACGGTTTCTAGTACGGTCTAGTGTACGAGGGGAACATGGACAGAATCCGAGAGCCGAGAAATCCAAGAGCCCCCCAAAGTTCCAAGAACTGCAGCGAGTGGTCCGCCGTTGTTGATGGATCATACCACACGTGTACTAGCAGGGTTCACAGCCTCAGCAGCAGGGGTCAGTCGGCCCTGTGAATCTCCGACGAGCCTTACCAACCGAGCCAACCTACGCGTACTTCGTACCGTACACCATACTCGACGTTACGTGGAGGTGAACAGACAGCCTGCAATACCACTAGGTACAGAATCCTCCATTTGTCGAGTCCTAGTGAAGGTAGGCAGTACTACATAGTAAGTATATACTGTATGGCACGCCCTGAATAGACCCTAGATAGATCTTACAGGAACCATAGATCTTACCGGACGAGAGTGGGCTTTTCTTGCACTACTGTAGAGATTTGGTTGTAAACGAATGCGAGAGGCGAGAGACATATTGAATACTTAACTAACCCCCACATATTCTACTCAAATACCTACTACGCCTGTGTACTACTAACGTACTTACAAACTGGTCCGTAATTCATTTGTTCATTACTTACATGTACCTCGTCTATTCTTGTTTGTGTTTGGTCATTCATTCCCTTCGTTCCCTTCGTTCCTAGGTATTCACATATTCGCCTTTCTGTTTCCTTTCTGTCCTTACCTCCTGAGGTTTGCCAATTCTAGAATATCCAACTGTAGTGGCTACTCATGGCATTGTAAATAACCATCACCACGAGATTGCCCCGCGAAGGACCCGGATATCCCGGATCGGCCGGATCTCTTCGAGACCTAGCCTTCGGAGCGCCCAAGTGCGACACTCGCAACTTTCGCGCGCCCGAAGATGGCCTTCCTCCGTCAGACATGGACCTTGACGGCCAAAAATCTCAAGATTATCGTTGTCCGCCATTCTCTAGCGACTGTCATTCGAGCATTTATCCTTCCCATCATCCTCGCCGCCTTTTTGACTTTCGCCCGATATCTATTTGTCTCGCCATCTCAATATGGCCTTGGTGACCCGAACCCCGTGCGATCACTGCCAGATGCGCTTCGAATAGCCTCCTCTGATGGTCGCAACAAAGTTGGCTTCGTTAACAGTGGATTTACTGGTGGCGATATCGATCAGATAATAGATACTCTGGTGGACCAGGTCACCAGTGTGGGTAAAGATGCCGTCAGATTATCGCAAGTTAGTGAACTTGCTACAGAGTGTCGAAGCACATTGCGTGGGAGCTCAACTTGCTACGGCGCCGTAGTCTTCAACTCTTCGCCTAACGAGGGCAATGGTGGCATCTGGAATTACACGCTTCGCGCTGATGGCGCCCTGGGCTCCAAAATCTACACGGACCAAGATGACAACGATTCTGAAGTCTACACGCTTCCTCTCCAAAGAGCTGTCGACTCCGCTATCGCTAACCTCGGCGCATCGAACGATAGAGGCTCTCGCCCCCTCCCCGGAACTGTGGATGAGTACCCCTTTACCACTCTGACCGACAAGGAACGTCAGCAAGAAATCCGACGACGATACCAGAGCTCCTTAACCAACTTTCTGGCTGTCGCCTTCGTCCTCGTCATCATTGGTGTATGTTACCACATGACGGGCCACATGGCTACCGAGCGAGAAATCGGCATGTCACAGCTTCTTGACGCTATGATGCCTACCAAATACCTTTGGCAAGCCCAACTCGCCAGATTACTGTCCCACCATATCTCTTTTACGATCGTATACCTGCCTGCGTGGGTAATTGGCTCTATCATAATTGCGCGAGGGGTTTGGGCACACACTAACGTCGCCATTGTGCTTATATATTTCATACTCGCTGGCCTTGCTTTCACCTCACTCTCAATTCTCGGCGCCGCCTTTTTCAAAAAGGCACAACTCTCTGGCGTCGTTACGACAATTGTATATATTCTCCTGGCTATTCTCGCGCAGACTCTGACTTCCCCGAATACTGCCACCGTTGCGGTGCTCAGTCTGCTCTTTGCTCCATGCAATTTTGTTTGGTACCTGACTTATATTGCACGATGGGAACGCAAAGCGCTCCCCGCGGACCTTACGCGAACGCCTCCGGACAATCCATGGGATCTACCCGGCATTGTATTTTGGGTTTTCTTGATCATCCAAATATTCGCATATCCCGCCCTTGGTGCCTATCTAGAGCGAGCTTTTCATGGGACCACTACTCACGGGCGTACTATCATGCGTGATCAAACTACAGACACAGCCCCGGAAGATGCCGTTCGCCTCGATGGCTTTACCAAGATCTATAAGCCCAGCGGTCTGCGCCGCCTTTTCTCCTTTATTTCGAAGCCTAGGGATCCAGTTATAGCAGTGAACGGCCTTACAATGACCGCTAGGAGAGGTCAGATTCTTGCACTACTCGGCGCCAATGGAAGTGGGAAAAGTACAACCCTCGATTCTATTGCTGGCATTAGCAAGTTAACGAGCGGCAACATTACGATTGATGGCACTGGAGGATTAGGCATTGCGCCCCAGAAGAACGTTCTATGGGACGAGCTGACTGTGGAGGAGCATATTCATATCTTTAACCGGCTGAAATCCCCGAATAACGTCGCCTCGAGGGATGAGATTCGAGATCTCGTTACTGCTGTGGATCTTGCACCAAAAATAAAGGCAATGTCCAAAACTCTTTCGGGAGGACAGAAACGGAAGCTACAACTTGGTATGATGTTAACGGGCGGCAGTGCTGTATGCTGTGTTGACGAGGTTTCGTCTGGTATCGACCCTCTATCCCGACGAAAAATCTGGGATATTCTACTTGCAGAACGCGGCAAACGAACAATCATTCTAACCACACATTTCCTTGACGAGGCAGACTTGCTTGCAGATCACATCGCGATTCTTTCCAAGGGCACGCTCCGAGCTCAGGGCTCATCCGTTGAGCTCAAAGACCGTCTAGGCGCGGGCTATCGTATTCATGTCTTCAATGCTAGAGATATCAAAGAGTCGCCAGAGGTCGAAGGAGTCAAACGGGTCGTGTCATTTGATGTAATTAGTTACCTAGCGCCTACTTCACACCTCGCCGCACAAGTTATCCGCACATTGGAAGCTGCAGGTATTTCCGACTACAAGTTCTCCAGCCCAACCATCGAGGATGTGTTCCTCCAGGTTGCTGAAGAAGTCAGAAGCGAGAGTGTGAAGACTCCTGACTCGGATTCAACTGATGAAAAACAAATAAGCACAGCAAAAGTGAGCGCTATTGGCGGTGAACCTGAGAAAGACGCGCTTGAACTGCTCTCAGGCCAACCGATTGGCTTCTTCAGGCAGACCGTGGTACTACTTCAAAAACGATGTACCGTTTTCAAAAGCAATTGGTTTCCCTATGTTGCCGCTTTGCTTATCCCTATTATCGCCGCCGCTCTAACCTCTCTTTTCGTCAAGAACCAAGCCCCAGGCGGCTGCCGTCCTACTAATGACCAGTCTGCCGGTGATAACGCCGACTACACCGAACTCCTTGACAGTTTGTTCCTAGGCGCAGGTCCTTCTTCGGCATTCACACCCGCTGCACTCAGCCTTTTCGCATCTGTCTACCCTAGCATGAGCAGTGGATCAACTGGGAATATGCAAGGCGCAACATCTAGTTTTACCCAGGGGCTTCATCTTGTCGACACCTTCTCGGAGTTCAACGATTTCATCGTGGAAAACCGCATGAACGTCACACCAGCTGGTTGGTGGCTCGGGGACAAGAATTCTCCGCCAACAGTCGCTTACACGGCGGATTTCCTCAGCGCGTCTACTGCTCTGTTTGGACAGAATGCTCTGAACATCATGCTATCGAATACGAGCATCGCGACCACATTCGCCGCATTCAGTACTCCTTTTATCCCTGGTACTGGCAATTCCCTTCAACTTCTAACATATCTCTCCCTTGCGTTGGCTGCTTATCCCGCCTTCTTTGGCCTCTATCCAAACGTGGAGCGTCGGCGTAATGTTCGTGGGCTTCAGTACTCTAATGGTGTGCGCTCGCTCCCGCTTTGGGTTGCACATACGACCTTCGACTTTGTCATCGTCCTCGTTTCATCAGCCATTGTCACCGCCATATTCGCGTCGGTATCAGATGTCTGGTATCACGTCGAATATTTCTTCTTGATCCTCTTCCTCTACGGCCTCGCGTCAATCTTGCTCTCATACGTGATTTCGCTATTCTGCAGTAACCAACTGTCGACTTATGCATTCTCCGCCGCCGGACAAGCTGTGGGGTTCCTGATCTACCTTATTGCTTATCTCGTGGTGCAGACATACGCGCCTATCAACACGATTGATTCCTCTTTATTAATTGTTCACTTCGTCGTCTCGGTATTTTTCCCCATCGGAAGCATCGTCCGTATGCTGTTCGTGGCCCTCAATTTGTTCTCTACGGCTTGCGACGGTCAAGACCTCCGCAGCAATCCTGGATCAATCCTGGCCTACGGAGGACCTATTCTATACCTGATTATTCAATCTATCGTATTGTTCGGCATCCTACTTTGGTACGACAGCGGTGCTGGCCGTACAGTGCTCGCTCGAATATTCCAAAGGAGCGCTAAAGCAAATAACGGCGATCCTGACGCTTCAGATGAAGAAGTTGCGAACGAGCTTGCCCGTGCCACTAGCAGCTCTCAAGATACGGATGGGCTGCGTGTGTTGCATTTAACCAAGTCATTCGGCAAATTTACGGCGGTCGATAATGTCACGTTCGGCGTCCAGCATGGCGAAGTCTTTGCCTGTGAGTATAGTTTTGCCTAACACTTATATATCACCAAAACGTCTTTTCAAAGGAGAACAAAGCTGACGTTCAATTCTGCAGTGCTTGGCCCTAACGGAGCTGGTAAATCAACAACAATTTCTTTAATCAGAGGTGATCTCCAACCCAGCCCCAATGGAGGCGATATTTTCGTTGAGGACGCTTCCGTTGTTCGCCATCGTGCTTCGGCTCGTTCTCACCTAGGTGTCTGTCCTCAATTCGACGCTATCGATTCGATGACAGTTCTTGAACATTTAAGATTCTACGCTCGCATACGGGGTATACCAGATATCGAGCATAACGTACAATCAGTTATTCGTGCCGTCGGCCTCGAGGCTTTTGCGACACGGATGGCACACGCTCTATCCGGTGGTAACAAGAGAAAGCTCTCCCTCGGCATTGCTTTGATGGGCAACCCAAGCGTGGTGTTACTAGATGAGCCGTCTTCGGGCCTAGACGCCGCCGCCAAGCGAATCATGTGGAAAACCCTAGGTTCCATCGTGCCTGGCCGATCCATCCTACTCACCACCCACAGCATGGAGGAAGCAGACGCTCTCGCAAGCCGTGCTGGTATCCTCGCTAAACGCATGCTCGCCCTTGGCACAATCGATAACCTGCGAGAGCGATTCGGCGATACCATTCACGTCCACCTCGTCAGCAAGTCCGCGCCACATTCGACGGACGAGGAGATGGAACACATGCGCGAGTGGGTGCTGGAGGCTCTCCCTGGCGCCGAGGTAGAAGCCAAGACATACCACGGACAAATGCGCTTCTCAGTGCCGGCCAACTCGATCACAGGCCGCGATAGCACCAGCGGGAGCGCAGTGGGTCGCCTCGTCATTATGCTTGAGGAGCAGAAGGAGGCGCTCGGTATCGAACATTACACGTGCACGCCAACGACGCTCGATCAGGTGTTCTTGACCATTGTCGGCCGACACAACGTACAAGAAGAAGGATACACGGAGAAGAAGAAAAAGTCGTGGTGGAAGAAAGGATGAGATAAAGCTGAACACGGGCTTTGCTCTGTTTATATATAGTAGGAGATATGTGTGTGTTTGTGCAGCGATTGCATAGGTATATACACAATAACTAGAAGTAGAGTGGCTAGGGAGGTGGGTTTGATTCACTCGACGCATGCAAGCATATGTGTCGCGGACGGCGTTGAGGCTGACTGGGCTGAACATTAATATCTGGTACTTTACGCACCATAGAGGTTGTCTTTTTTTTGTTAGCTTTTTACGCTGTTGGAGGGTCTGCCTAGAGATTATGGGTAACAAGGCCTCCGGTATATAGGATGTTAGTTGTATATATTTCATAAAAACACGTTCAAATCAAAGAAAAAATTCTCATCACCAATGCAGATAGGTTCAAAAGTATAGTGCTAAGTCTCGATCGACAAACGAGAATGAACTGGGTTAGGAAAATACTATTAGGATTATACCTTTATTATTGCTTAATTATTTAATGGTTATAACTAGTGATTATGTAGCAGTCATTTCGACCTCAATTAGTCCGTATAGAACTAGTACGTAATAACACTTTTGCTGAATCCTTGCTTTTTTGTATTGGGCTAGCATTGAAGACCCTGGAATAGGGGTAAGCTTAGTCCGTAGTATAGTATTCTAATTCCCAACCCTGAGAATGAATATTCCTGAGCATGAAATATGGCCAGTTTAGGTCATCTGTGCAACAGCACGTCAGAAGAGCCACTTAGACGAGAATTTTGTCATGCCAATCTCTCCTCGATTCATGGCAGTTATGTCCTATGTGACATAAATAATTTTCCTATACTCTTTTTCCGAACCAAAATGCACGGACCTGGCGCTCGCATATGATGCATACATGCAATACAATAGCCCTATTTAGCTATTATTTGCTGAGAATTTCAAATTACAAATCTCACATAAGACCCATCGACTTCAGGATCTGGCTTATGTCCTGCAGCTTGACCGGTTTCGTCAGGAAGAGGTCAACGCCGCTTTCCAGCGCTTCTTGCTGTACAGTCGCCGAGGCCAGGCCAGATAGGGCGATGACGGTGGACGGCGGGAGATGGTTCGCGGCCTCGAATTCGCGGATCTGCCGAGTCGCCTGGAGCCCGTCGAGACGCGGCATGTTGATGTCCATGAGCAGACAGTTGAAGTGGCCCGGCTTCGCGACGTACTTTTCGACAGCATACTGGCCATCCTGCGCCGTGACGTAGCTGCGCCCGAGCTTCTTCATGTACGCGCACAGGATCCGCATGTTGATCGCGTTGTCTTCTACGAGGAGGAACTTCTGCGGCTCGTACCGTTCCAGCGCCGCCGACTCGGCGTAGGGCTCTGGCTCCGGCTTGAGACTGGAACGTGGCGACAGTGAAGGAGACCTGGGGGGACGTGCGCTCCGGTCTGCTGCTGGGGCCTCGAATGGTCCTGGTCCCGTCAAATTGAGGATATTGAAGGTTTCTTTGTGGTACATTGGCATGTTGCATTCTTCATGACTTCTGGTAGAAACTCGGCGCAGGCTGAGAGATGCCATGTTGCTATCGGGCGGCTCGGGCTGATCTTGTCTCTCTACCCATCGCTGTAATGCTGCCAGGAGAATCTTGGCGAGCTTTCTAGGCCCGGTTCTAAAACTCGTGATTTAGCTTATAAGCACTTCTTGTGGAAGGGGGGTTGACTAACGGTTGAGAAATAAACTCTGTGATAGTTGACGAGTCGCGAAACCTAGGATCAACAGACAAGCGGTACGCAGCGAGAGCGTTGCCACAAACGACAACGAGTGGTGTCTTGCTCAAGGCATCTCTTTCAACGAATGAATCATACAATGATGTCTCTTCGCAGAGCACGATATCGGGTGCTATATACACAGCTTGGCTCGGCAGCACGATTTCCATGGCCAAGTGTTTTCGACAGATGTCCCATATGGATTGGTAGTCACTGGGCTGGTCCTTCTGGCCCGGCAGACCTAATGGTGCGTCGAATCCGACAAAACATACTCGAAGTCCTTTGAGCTGTCTCTTCTGTTTCGTATACTCGTCTGACTCAGGCTCGGCAATGGGTTGTAATGGGAGCAGCACTGTAGCCGTGGTCCCCACGCCGACCTTGCTGGCTATGCTCACCTTCCCTCTCAGAGATGAGACTATTTTTTTCACGACACACAGGCCGAGACCAAGCCCCGGACTAATGTTATTCTCTTGATGAAATTCCTTGAAGAGAGAGTTTGCAAGAAAGTCTTCGCAAATGCCTTTACCTGTGTCGGTGACGGCTATCTTAACCCAGCGCACACTTGTATTACGGGCTTTCTTGGTGGGGACAATCTCTTGCGATAATTCAACTCGAATGCTCCCCGAGCTGGTGAACTTCAATGCGTTCCCAAATAAGTTCATCACTATCCTCCGTATAGCACCAGATATTGCATGGTAGTAATGAGAGCAATTGACATCAATGGCGAGATCGATTTTACGGAATTTAGTTGCAAGATTAGCGACATCGCCACCATCCTCTATCCAATCTTTGAGGTCCTCTGTGGCTTGGAAACTGTCATCCCGCCGCATGGCATAAACGTCCGCTTGAGACTTTTGGCGGCCTCGTTCAAATTGTCCAATAGACAGGCGCTGAAAATTGAATCCGGCGAATATGCTCTCGGTGACATCTTCCACCAAAACATCAAGTCGTACAGGTGTAGTTATTGATCTCATTCCAGCCTGCAAGCTGTAATTCATCTCCTTTCGAAGTCCTCGAGCCCTCGAGTCATGCGTTTTACCTGGTGGGATAAAGTTGTTGACTTTGGCGTAGTACAGCAAGTGATCAATTGTATCTGAGAGTGTTCGCCCACACGTCTCGAGGATGTGTAGCAAATTACCTTGAAAGACACTCAATGACGTATCCGACAAGAACTCGACACCGAGGATTATGCCGTGGAGAGGTGATCGTAACTCATGTGATAGTGAACCCAGGACATCCGACTGAGCTTGGTGGGCCAGGTTCGTTTCAAGACTGGAGATCTCCGCTATTGCAAGAGTAGAGACTGCAAAAAGATAGCTTAAATCTTGAGCCCTGAAGAAACGCGTCCTGTCAAAGGTATACGCAAAGCATCCGGCGCGCCACCTTTTGCGGACTTGATCCCAAACAGGAACGAATGCCACGCTTTGAGCTCCAGGGAAAGCCTTTGATACCTCATTCCCTAAATTGCCGATAAATGAAGATGTGCGTCTCTTCGTCAGCTTAGGAGCGCTTCCAGTAGCAACTGTAGGACACTGAGGCTTGCTGTCTCCAGAGCTAGGCTGAAGTTGACCATTTTCGTCAAAATCCATGACGGCGCCTGAAGGGTAGCGCCTCAAGAGGGCCGATAAGGCCTTGAAGGGCAATCTCTTATTCGTCGACTGATGCGTTTCTTTGTCAACTCTGGGATACTGCAGCGGCGAAGAGGCTATTATATGAGTATCTTGATTCATACTGCTCGACGCCGTGTTGTCACTGTCCCAGGACTCCTCATCAGACGTGTTGAATTGTGATGCATCACTTCCTGTATATTGAGATCCAAACGGGCTAAATAACCCTGCGCTAGCATCGAGGAAGATCACACCATCCGCTTCGATACTCTCTCGAATTGTATTTGATGCCCTAGTGAAAACCGTCGTTAAAGGGTCCTCCTCCTCCTTTGAAGGAGAATTTCTCCCTGTTGAGCGAGGCGACCTCCTAGGGCCTTCGGGAATTGGGCCTAGCTTCGGGGGTGATGGCGTATATTTCGAGCTTCCGTTTCCGTTGTTGTTGGGAGCTCCTATACTCTTGGGGTTTATCATGTCTCTTGTGAAGGGATTCTCGTGATCTTTATCATATGATGAACCCTGCTGCGAATTCATTGAGGCCAGCCTCTGCTCAACGAAGGTCCCAATGCCCTGAGTCTTCTTTTCGGCCCTCCTCCTCTCAGTTTGCGAAGCTTTCGATAGCAAGTGGTCCAATATGGATAGAGATATCTCCCGAAGCAGTCTGAACTGTTCCTCGCCCCAGTCACAGTCTTGTATGGGCTGTTCTGTTACAACACTAAACTCCCCAAAGTCTATACCATTTCGGCTTCGAATGGGTACTGCCACATACCCGCGCACTGGGGAGTCCCATAAGATACAAGTTTCCTGTGATACTTCTGGATGTTGACGAATATCACGTATGATGCTCACCGGCAGTTCGGCGATCTCTTTGTCATTTTCGTCAGATTTTACCGTGTTTAGAAATTTCGAACAAATACCATTGCTCCGAGGTATAGCTGTTCCCCAAAGCCATAATGGTTCTTGTCCGCCTAGAGTGCTAGGATCAGTGCGTAAAGACGAACTCTTGGTGCTTTCTGCGATGACATATTGATGTGCCCGGTCGAAGAGAGATATAAAAGCCCGTGATGCTTTTGTGCGGCAAACACCCAGCTGCGCGAGAGCTGTCAGAATTGGGTCTGCTCTCGTAGAAAGCTCCAAGGTAGCAGTTGGCTCGAGTAAACATGTGGACCTGATATCTGAGAACAAGCTTGGGTCATGTCTGCAGGAACATCAATGTCAGCTTATATTTATGATACTATACACAATGCACACAAGAAAAGAGCTATCGAGGTTGACCAACCTGAAGGTTTCACGTTCTCTGGCGGCCTCCGATATGCTTTCGCCGGACATGTTTGTGGCCGGGACTATAGTCCAAACGTAGAGGTGAACTAGCACCTGCACGGTGTGCCCTCTCTGGCTAAGGAGAGATGAAAGCACGATGTTCGTGTTCGACTGGAAATTCAGGCCATAAAAATAAATCCATGGGAGAAAGCAGGTGTCTTCCTACTTGCAGCCGGCCGGAGAACATCGTCGGTACGCGATTCAATCGACCAAAGAGATAGAGCTTTCAGACATCTGGTGTAAACAGCAACAATTATGCAATTTGATTACTAGCAGAAACAAGTCTCGTCGCCAGCTTTACTTGGCACCATTACTAGCTAAACTGTATCTCTGGGGTAAGTCATGCCACGGTTCTAGCGGTATACTGTAGCCATAGCCGCCACTGGCTTCGTCTATGATGACATATATATGATGGTGTGACGATGATTCTTAGGAGATCCCACCATCGGAAGCTTTCTTTGTTCAGATCGCAGGACAGGTTTGTAGCTCCAGGTCTAGAGGCTTTCATACTTTCCATCGCTTGAACTCTAAATGGTGCTGTTGCTGAGGTGTCAAGTGGCACACCACCTAAAGGGGAGGCAAAATTTGTGCTAGGAAGCGTTGTTACAAAACGTAGTATCGGCAGATGTATAGCTATTCATTCATAGACCATATAGCTATGGTCTACAGCTATGGTCTTCAACATGGCAGTGACGATTTTTATCAAGATTGCAACCAGTCTACATAACGGCGAATGGAAACGAGACGAGATAGATAGCTTAGCTCATCAGTCCTAGACAATTAAAGCAGTATCTAGTGCCTACAAGCTTCGAACACATGCAAGTGCTAATCATTAATTAGTAATATTCTAATTGCAATGCCTTGTCAACACCTCTACCCCGTGTCTAAGCAGAGGTTCGACTCGACTAATATCTGAGCTAGGTCAAAGTCAATCACATCAAACAAGCTATGTACACAAATATCAAGCTAGCGATTCTATTTCGCTAAGAGTTCATTGTAGCTGATTTGTAAACCTTTGTGATCTCTGTGTTCGTGGATACTCGGAAGGTACGTCGAACGCTACCCAAAGTAGCGTGAGCTCCATGCAAGGTATGAAAGTGGCCACGACTATGACCTTTGAAGACTAGAACATAATAAGTCCCAATTGAGTGGAGATTCTTCCGACTCCATTCTCGTTTTCTCCATTAGGTCGCATCTGAAATGCTTCTGTATGGTGTGGTGGATCGAACGTATAACTATATATTCAACTTGTCTCCCTAGGTGGGGCATGACTGCGGTAGAGTACCTCCGAACCTCAACTTACTCGTTTTTTTATCTTCGACATATGCTTTTAAGTTTGAAGATTGTCGGATATTGTAGACAAATGGAAATCGCCGATATGGTTCGGAGAGCTCCGGTTCGGTGTACAGAACCAGCTCGACTCGAGAGCGGTCGTCTCAGATCGATCGCTTCCGAAGAGAAGAAAACTCTACCTTTTGTGTTAACCCGACTGGAACAGTTTCCAAAGGGGCATACCTCGGCTGTGGAATATTATGGATAGCTAGGGGTTGGTTTTATATCAGCCGTTGACTCTAAGCAGGTTTAGTCTTCGACTTGGTATTTGCTGTCACGAATACTACCTAGGTATGTTTTCCATGTTATTATCTTGTTGCTATTGTTTTTCCCTATCCAAATTGTCCGGTAAATGGATATCTGGGCTATTTTATCAACCCAGAGCACAATTACACTTAACTACTTGTCATTCCAATATTCCCTAGAGTGATGTAAATTCGGACGCTTCACACTTGCGATTGATATATGAGTCCTATGATCGTTCAGCTGATACATCGATGAACCCTATTGGTAAATACCGTAATGCGTGTTATGTGCTTCTTTTGGTATCACTGATGTATTGTCATGGCCGAGGGACGGCGCGCAACTACTTCGTAGCGAGGAGCACTATCTCAATTCATTGCATAGCCTCAAACAATTTTAATCTCATTAATACAGAGATTGGTATATATGTGGGTAGCGGGTTTCGTTTCTATTTTCAAATCATAGTCGAGTGGTGGCCATGGCTTGCTTTGGAAAGAGTGCCTCATTTACGTGGCGCTATACCTCTTGTACGCGCTGAACGCTATGGACACCATTGTACGAGTATTCGTGTCGACTTGGCTACGTGACTTGTTTGAAATCCTTTATCGTGACACGCAATTCATATTGGAAAGTGAGGCTATTTAGCCCTCGCTTATACGAGACATATTGACGAACCTCGTTGGTTAGGAGGCCGGTCTCAATTTCTATATGGAGTAAGGGTCAACTAGCTATGAAGGTCAGGAGGTGGTCCGAATGAACTATCTGAGCCTCAATGTCCATAGCAGATTACTGCGTATAGCTTCGATATAGGCCTAACCTTTAGGCCTTGTTGTATTAATCAGGCTATAGATTTGATCAATCATCATATAATACCCAGGCCTGACAATAGTTGACTATTAATAGCCCCTGAGACATAAGCAAATCGCAAGGGTCCCGGGCTACCACGTCACGGGCCACCGGGCAGGTTATCCAAACATCGAAGATCGATAATTAAACATCGCCTTAAACTCAACATAGTAAATATTGGGGCAATGTTTGGGACCCCCCTGTTTTCCCATATAAATTAGGATAGTTGGAAACATTGTATAAACGTTAGCAATGTTGATAGTTGGACTTGGATTATTGTTACGATATTGGTAGGTTTAGGTACTTAAGTTAATATTTGAAAATAGGTAGTAATCCTATTAAAATAAAGATACTTTCCTAGGTATTATTACTTTTTTACAAAGATATTAATACTTATATTACCTTTAAAAAACTATTAAGTTAGCAGAATTTATAGCTTTAAAATTCTTAATATAAGTATATTTAGCATTAGAATTATATATAAATTAGCTTAATTGTAAAGAGGTTCATTTTTAAATGGATATTTTTTTACCTACAGGTTTTATAGGTTCCGGTAGGAGATATAAGGGCGGTACTTCTAAAAGGGTTAAATTAGGTGTGCCAAGGACCGTTATAGGGGTGCCTATATGTACTGGCCTACATTTAGCTATATTAAGTTTAAGGCGATGTTTAATTATCGATCTTTGATATTTAGATAACCTGCCCGACGGGCTATCCCGCTACGCGCTTTTTACGCAAATTTGCGTATATAAATCCCTATACCTAACGTAGTTAGTTTTTACCTTTTAACCTTCTTTTTATATTTAATCGAATTACCTTTTTATATTAAATTTTATAATGCTTTTAATTTTTAAAAAAAAGTATTATTAAGGTATTATTTATAATATTAAATTTAGTTTAAGTATTAAAATAATAATATAAAAGTAGAATATTTTTAAAACTATTTTATAATGCTATTTTAATAAAATTCTAACCTAAAAAGAAATAAATTAAAGCTTTTAATTTTTTTTACTTTATTTAAAATATTAATTAATATATTAAATAATTAATTAAGTTAAATTAAACTATACATTATTATTAATTAAGTTTTAAACCTTTATAAATTTTATATTTAATAATATTAATATTATTAAAAAGATCTTTTTATTATAATATTAAAGCTTTATTTAATAAAATTTATTAATTAAAATTATTAAATCTTATATAATTAATTATTTAAAAGTTAATAATGCTATAATAATTAATATTAACCTTTTTTTTTAATTAATTTAAAGCTTTAAAAGTTATTAATATTTTAAAAAACTATTAATATAATATAAATAAAATAAGGATTAAATAAAGTATTAACGCATCTCTCACTTGACCTGGCCACCCAATTGACCTGGCCACCCCCCTAGCCCATACAATAAACATCGGTGTGCTAATCACGTGATAATTTAATAACTCTACAAATAATAGTCGTATAAAGCAATAAAATATACCATTAGATTTGTAATAAAAAGAGCTATTTAACGGTACCCTTTACTAACTTTTACGACTTATATTCGCGGAGTTATTAGACAATACGCTAAAGTAAGCGCTAAATTAATCCCTGCTTAGTGCCCCTTTAGCGTATTGCTTAATATCTCGCTTAATAAATTTTATAAAAAATAGTAGAAAATACCGTTGGATTCCCCGTTAACTAATGGATTTAACGGTACTAATTATTAAACCGTACGATTAATATTCGTAAGGTTATTAAAGATTGAAATAATGGGGTTTTATATAGGTTATTGGGGTGG